CACGCCGGCTGCGGAGAGTATTACAAGCGTTTTTGTGTGGTCGCAATTTTGACTTCTAATTATATGTGCATTGAGTTTTTCATAGTAGATTAAGGGTCGCGCGTCCGTCCTATCCCGGGCTAGTCGGAGAGTATAGCGTTTTTGGGTAGATCATTTTGACTTTTTAGTTTGTGCATTGAATGGTTTCCATCGTAGCGTCTGAGGGCTTCGCGGCGCGCCGTCTATCCCGCTGTGGAAAAGTATGAATAGGTTTTCTCGTCTGGGGGTGTCATTTTGCCTTCTTTTATTTCGATGTGAAATGGTTCAATCGTAGATTGAGGGTCCGCAGTCATCCCCGCCCGGCGTGGGAGCTAATAGCGTTGTGGGTGGTCCCAATTTTGATATTTTTAATATGTGCAATTGATGGTTTTCATGGTATCTGATAAAAAGTTCCTTTCTGTCCCTTCCTGTGTGTGCATTTGCAACCGTTGATGTGCTACTGAATCCCATCACTACAGCAGTGAGAGCCTGCGAGTGTGCAAGATCTTTCATTCTTGCAATATACACCAAAATAGTGAAATTTTCGAAATCAAATAATTTTTATTCGTGTAAAATGTGTCCAAACATTAGTGCTAGTTGTAGAGATGGAGTGAGATTACCGTATTTTTTTAAACAAGTTTTTTGAAATGAAATTATTAACGTCAATTCTCTCAATGCATAACAATTAATACGAAAACGCATATGCGCACTTAAAATCGAACCCTGTGCGCGGGAGGTGAATATACCTCACATGGACACTATGCTTAAAATTATGTAAGTAATGTTTCAATATATTTTTGTTAAACTTATTTTTAATTAATTTACATCAATTGCTTAAGAGTTATTACGTAATAGTGTTCTGAAGTTCGAAAATTCCATTTCTTTTATTCGATGGAGCTTGTCCAGTTTGTTGGACCGGAAGGGGTGGTTCAGGGCATCAATTGATGTAACTGCAGTCCTCCTGACTGGGAGGTTCTAAGTTCGAGTCCCGACGGTGGCAGGAGTTTGGACACGAGCTTGTTAGCTAGGTCGAATTCAACCGCTGTCTGAAGGAGAAACCTAGCGGCCGGCTGCTCAGTTCGGTAGTTTTCCGTGGTTTCTCCGATCAAGACTAGGCGAATGCCGGAGCAGTACCCTATTAAACGGGACACGGACCCCGCGTGATCTCACCTTCCTCTTCCTTGTCCTATCCTCACTCCTTACACTAACATGCACTACACTGCACATATGCCGGGAGACCGGTCGGGAGCTTACAGCTTGTCCCAGCTCGGGCGGTGCCTAGCTGGTGGGAGATACCTGGTGAGGGGAAACCCCGCTAGCCGACGTTAGGTCGGAGCTCGATCCGGCCATTCAGCGGTGGAAGATAGCCGCCACCATCCGAGCCATCAAAATAACTACACTTACGGGACTAACGGCCCTGGTAGTTGACGTGCCCGGAATCACTAAACAATCAATCAATTAATCAACCCAGTTTGTTTGAGCAGCCACTAAGTTTGAGAGAAGTGAGTTACGTTTAAAAAACGGTGGCACCCTCCTCTGCAAATCTAGTTTTCTCAAATATGAATTTGAAGTATTTCGAATGGCCAAGGTGGCAATATTGCCATATTGCAGCCCGTATGGTAAATTAATACCTTCGACGTCTCTGAAGTGGCGCAAGGATCACTGTTTTCAGCAGGCCTGGCTTTTATCCCGCTTCAGGACAAGCACCATCAAACTGCCTTAGATGTTTGTCGTTTACTTTTTCCAAATTTTTTAGTTTTTTTCATTTTTTTCCTAATTTTGCACTTAATTGATAAAAACTCGGTGTGAAAAATGATTTAGTGTTGGCTCATCAGATTACACTCTGGACAGAGTGTAAAAAATAATTTCCCACTACTAATTTCAACACTACTATTTGAGATCGCACCTACTAACATAACTTCTACTCTGTCATTTATGATTCTTAGTGAAAATTGAAATGATAAACTTATATTTATATCCTTCTCAAATAAAAATCACTTCGACGTGAATCGTTTAAATCTTACAATTTCATGTCTCCGGCAATGTGTTCTTCCTAAAAAGGAAACTTTCAACACTTAAGAAATTAAGTCAGGTCATTTATTTCTAACATGAAAAAGGGTCTTATTAAAACTGAAAAAAATGGTAACAAAAAAAGACGACAACTAACTACACTCAACCAACACGTCTACATCACGTCTACGTGTTTTCTACAAGTACTGCAAGTATGTTATTCTTTCTACATCAATGAGTACATTCATACCACAATCTTAACAAAATACAACCATGATAACCCGACATACCGTGCTGGGAGGCCAGAATAATACTTGCCTCCGGACGACTTGCTAAGCGGCGCTTCTGGGTTCAGAGATTGTGACATTAGCTATGACTCAACTTCGCAACTGAGTGGACTGAGAGACCCGGAACGAACTCACAGGAACTCATAGGAAGTGATATCCGCACTATATACTTTTCCATCTTTGTAGACGTAGGAGCAACAGATAAACAAATATTCCGTAACCTTTACATGCAACTAACTACCCGTGTTGCACCAAACTGCTGCACCAAAATGTTTCCGCCAAGTCAGAATACTGATAGCACTTAAGAACCTCTGAACCTCCGCCCATTGTTTACAAAGAGGGGAATTACTTTATTTACAGGAGGAGGCAAATTATTATTTACAAGAAGGGAAATAATAATTGTTTTGTTTGTCATTTGCGTGAAATGTTTTACGAAAGTTTTTGTACAATATTAGGGTCGTTGGAGTTCAATTCGAACCCATTTTACTCTTTACATATAAATTCGAATACAAGATTGTTGTTAATGTTAATTCAGCAATAGCACCACTAGAGGGAGTCGCCGTACTGTGCGCTAGTCTGTAAGCTCAGTACACATATAACAAGGCAACACAAGGTATGTACTCGTGTTCTCAAAAAACATTTTATATTGTATTAAATAAACAAGTGTTTGTTGAATCATAATAGAGATTCATTCAAAATATTATTATCTAACGTGCATTCTGGATCAAATACATTCTCCTCACTGCTACTGCTCTCGTTCCTATGTTACAATGCTTGAAATTTTAAAATTAAATCATAGGTTATAGTACAAGTAGTTGTGGTAATAATAATACTACTTTATACCTGATTTATACTTTATACCTATATCTTCAATTACTTCAAGGCAGCCCTCATACTCAACATATTTTTTTTTAAATAAAGAATTTCTACATAGCGAATTTCTGATTGTTTTTATGACAGAATGTTTTTAAATGATACATTTAATTTGTTATGATATGGGAAGTTAAGATATTAAAAACAAACTTAAATTTAGAAAATACACTTTACAATTTAAGGATTCAAATAATTTTAACAGTAAAATGAAAAATGTTCGCCTTTGGCAATCCTCACAGCTCGATACGGATTGATTGATTTGAATTAAAGCTTAAAATAAACTAGACAGATTGCGGAAAAATAATGAATCTTACCACACTGGTATATTTGCCATGCCATAGAGCGTTTGAAAGCTATTCAAATCCCTACAATATTTGTGTAAAACTCCGAGTGTGCGTATGCCCCGATGTGCGATTCTGTCACTTGAGGCTAGACCATTTCCCGTGCACCAATCGAGACGTATCAGGTGTCATTCGAAGCGTCTCGGTCTCATGACGGGGAACTGATAATTTGTTTTCGGATCCGGAGGGAAGATTCAAATAAATTTCCCAAAATGTGTTTTTCGTGTTTTGGCTTTGCGATCTTAGTGATAATGCCAGGAAATAAACCAATGCCTCGTAAATAGATCAAATTAGGTGGCGTTGATTAAACATCAGTACTCGAAGGCATTTTTCGCACAATACGACATACTTTTCTTTCTCGACGTTGACAACAGTGATGTTGACATCTTTAAGTGAAGAATTGAATTGCCAAAATAATTGCTCTGCAGATTTATCGCAATTAAAAAAAATAATTTGCGGAAACCTACGAACAGCATTGCCTTGGAACTAATTAAAGCTTGAAGAAGTACAAGTGAATGCAGGGAAAACAAAACTGTGAGTAATGCTAGAAAATGAATGAACGTTCTTATGTTCGACTTCGCACTTTTCCGTTCTTACGTAATTGTGCAAATACTGATTTTCAAATGAATATGACCCACAACGTATTCTTATTTAACTTAACTAACACCATTTTCACATAAACATACAAAAAAGTCGTCTGAACAGTTGTCTGGGAATGATCTGGATTTTTGCATTTAACATTTGTGCTGATGCAAATGTCATGTGTGCATTTTTGCGCATATTAGCAAAAGAGCGTAAAAATGTAGCTGTACAACATATTAACTATTAGCATCATCAAAACCTGCAAGTATTTGTTAGGCGATTAGAATTTTGAAATTGCAATAAGACCAGATCATATCCAGTATGGAGGTAACATTCAAGGCCATTGGGTATTGGGAACATTTTAAGGGGAGTATAATATTATCAGCCACTACGATTCATTGGTAAATCCAATGCCAGATACTGAAAGTGCATATTTTAACAAAGCTGGGCATAAAAAAATGAAGTATGAAAGAAATTTTCAACACTTGAAACTATTTTTAAGAGAGTTTACAGCGTCGGCGACGCCACGTTTTACTAGTATATTAATATTTGACCAACAAAAACTTTTTACTGTTGTTAAATTAATGAAATGCAAACATTTGTTACTATGGGCAAGAAAAAATCAAAATCATTATAAAAATTGAAAATTAATATTTGTGTTTCTTTGTGTTCTAAATCTCTAACGAAAACGTTCAGAGAAAGCAGAACGAAATTCTGCGTCATTATGTTTATCAGCATTTTAGGTGCCTCACATTTTCGTACCATTCCTTTCAGAATCTTCACTTCAAACCGCCGCCGCAACAATGTCGAGTAGCGACGTAGTTCGAAGCGTCGCCGCTAGAGAGCAGCACCGCTCAGCGGCTCCGGCGGCGCCAGCTCAGCTGGTGCACTGACGTGGGCGGCAGCAGCCCTCCGTGTCCCGCGCCGACGGCTGTTTATTTTTAAGCCTGACGCTCTTCTCCCAGCGCATTCTTCTCGGCGCGAAGTGCGGTGCCCGCCAGTTATTTCGGGCACGGACCGGCCGGCGAGTGTGTGGAGGTAAGTGCTCATTAAATAGCGAGTGAATGACTCGTACTGAACGCAAGGTGTACTATACAGATAGAGAGTTGGTCAATTCGTGATCAACTAGAATGTGCGATCTTTTTTTGTATTGTTTACTATTTAAACGCGTTAAGAAACAGATGATAATTACTTCTCCAAGAACGTATTGTGTCCATTTACGACCTAAGGAGTTCATTTAAAGATATAGTGAATGATTTCCTCGCAAGATTAGGAATTGAATTGTTGACAAAGCATAACCGGCTACTGGATACACGTGTTGAGACTGATGTTTATTGCACATTTTCCCTCGCACGTGCTGTATGATTCATGTCTCGTGATTGGCCAACGGGTGTCCCCCTCTTCTAGATGGGTTCCTCGTCTCTTGTTTCTCCCTGTATTGATCAAATCGCGATTTTCTGAAAGGGAAGTGAACCCGCGAGGACCGATTATAGAAACGTCCCACCACCTTTTCAAGGTCCTTGGGCGTGGCCCTCTGGCACCTGTCAAGGGCACTGCGTTGGCGCAGCGCTAATAGATTTACTGCGGCCCCACGCCGAATACTGACCGGCATTCTGCTGCCCGGCTGTACTGGGCTGGCAATCGTTATCACTAGTAGTGCTTTTTCAACACCCGTGCGACCTCGTTACATTTCCTTTAAAGAGGGCGACTTGCGCTGAGCAGTTGGCAGCCTGGTCACTTTATAGCTTCCTAATATCTTCACCCAAGTGATTAGAATCGGGTTGATGAACTGGTAGTGTCTCTTACTGGCATTATTGTTAGTTATCATGCAATAGCCAAAAGCCATACAGTTGTTGATGACGGATTTCATGTTCATGTAGTTTTTGGTCGATGGGTCGTAAGCATGTGATAATGGTTCATGTTGGCTGATTCAGTTGTTGTCGAGGTATTGAGCAAACAAGAGGGTACTCGTTACGTGGAAGAATGACGCCCCAGAGTAAATATTTACCGCCTGACGTCTGCGAGTCTATTCAAACGGAACTTCGGTTTTCACAAGACAAAATTTAGAATATATTTCGTTTTTCATTGTACCAAATATTTTCAAAAAAAAATAGAATTCTATTTCTGCTCGGATTAATTTTGTAAAATCAGAGAGAAAAGAAGACCGGTGTAGTGTAAAGTGTTAACGTAACGAAGAAAAGTAGAAAATTTCACATATTTATTACAAAAATCACTTATTGTGCAGAGAATGCTCCACTTTAAATTTAAAAAAAAATTGGTGTAATATCCTGATTTTATAAACTGTACGTTATACCTGTAGATATCCGAGCGCTATTTCACCCTCACTAGAGAATTCCTTCACCTTTTTTGTGTATTTTGATATAAAACAACCTCATTCTTCTGTTTGGTGAATATGCAGAAAGACATTATCTCGAATTTATATTAGTAAACAACCGTTGATGTATTCAGGTTTGTTTAGCCTCTACCTGCATCTAAGATAACCGACCAAATGGTTCAGTAACCCCAAGAATTGTCATAGAAAGTACTCACATTCAGCACGCTATCGCAAATTTAATGTGGTTTATGTCCAGAAATCGTGCATTGGTGAATGCACAACACTCGCGTAATTACTTGCTGATATTAATTTTGTTTTCTGAAAATTGTTACAGAGTCGTTCAGTTATCATTTTTACTAAGGTATTCATCTCTAATATCTTTTATTTTAGATTTGGTAAAGATGGAATTTGCATTCAGAATTTTAAGGGTTGGACTGAGGGGCGTAAGAAATCAAGAGGTGGTTTTCAACCTTTTCGTGAAAAACCCGCGAATTTTCGAACTAACATTTGCAGGTTAAAGAAGAGAACACTGTGCACTCGTAAACCAAGTGAGCGAGCGAAGGGGGAAGGATGGGAAGGAAAGGGAGAAGGGGAGGGGAAGAGGAAGAGATGAGGAGAGAAATGGAAGAGGAAGGTCAGCAGATGGAGTTTCGCAGCTATTTCTCTCTAGAATTATGAAAAGCGCTTTGAAATAAATGAAGAAAAACGTATTGAAGTGCGATTTGAAGATTCATTAAAGTTGGTTAGGTCCTAAGGAAAGACAACAATATTTTTTCCTTTAGACTTAAGACCCCTTTGGTACAAAACACTTACATAATAACACTTGCGTGTACTCTTTCTTACTACACTTCCATTCTAAATTTGCACAACTCCTTCCGCTGAACCAACCTTATAGGAAACACATAACTCGTAAGCCCCGTCGGAATCAATCCATGGTTTTGAATCCATTTAATTACAGCCAAACACCCCTTTCGTAGCAACGCGTATAAACATTACGTTAATTATCTTAACGTAGCAGCCTCTGACCGGGAGGTCCTAAGGTTCGGGTCCAGGTGGTGGCAGGATTGTTGACACTAGCTACACAGTTAGATTGGATTCAGTCGCTGTCTGGAGGAGAATTTTAGCGGCCGGCTTCTCTGTCATATAGTTCTCTGTGGTTTCCCCAGGCAACACCAGGCGAATAACAAGGACAATACCGTAACAAACGGGCCACGAGCCGCACTCTATCTTTCCTTCTTCCTTGTCCTTTCCTCACCACCTACTTACACACAAGTACTACACTACCGCACCTGTCGGAAGACCAATCGGGAGGTTGATGCTTGTCGTGGCTCGGGCGGTGCCCCGCTGATGGGAGATACCTGGTTGGGGAGTCATACCGCAAGCCGACGAGTTGGTCGGCGCCGGATCTCGTCCTCTAGCGGAGTAGCATCATCGCCACCTCCAATCACGCCCAATACTTGCGAGACTAATGAGTAATGACCATAGCAGTTGACGTGCCCGGAATCACTAATCAATCAATCATTCACCGTAGCAGCTCAAACACTCAAAAGTACTAATCACAAACCGCGAAAGAGCGCTAGCTGAAACTTCAATCGCCATTCCGACAAAAAATATATCAAAATAAATCTTCAAACTTACAATAAAAAAACTTCACTCCAACAGATAAAATAGTAATGACACTCCAGTAAAGTACTAGAACGTGAAATGTCGAAATAAAGAAAATAATAAATCATGAAACATTAAATTTATTTTAATAATCTTTTTTTATAATTTATTATAAGTATATATCGCGCCCGATAATCTCGGCGGTGAAACTCTCGACGCTTTGCTCATTATGATTACGTACTGTGCTACGTATATTGCGTACCTCTTTCAATCGAAAAAGTTACCTCAAAACTCGCAAGTACTCCTAGTCCCCTCCACCGCACATTTCCTCCTCGCCTGTGCGTCTCGAATTGCCAGTAAAAACGTCTTCCTTACGTTGTATAGAAATCTCTACTATGCTTCTATTAAAACGAAGGCAATATAATTGTTATATGCACACAAAGAAGCAAGAAGAAGCAAGCCAAATGACCGAAAAGTTCTCAAGCTAGAAAATACAACACATGTTTGACAACCGTAAATCACAGTTTGCACACATTAAATGTAATCACGTTACAAAATGTAATATCATTTCATATTTTTCTGACAAGTAACATATCCTATCAATTATTGCTTTGCATTTTAATTTTTTGTCATACCCACAATATCACAAATGGATAGATGGTATAAAAGCAGTAGAATAGGTTACAATGTCAGAATAATAAGAGTCGGACACTTTTATATCTATTGTGGATGGTTATAAGATGTTCATATGACTAATAAAATTATATTAGTCTAAGTTTGTGTACTTGAGGTTCACTATTCCAAAAATTCCCTAAATTCAATGTTTTCCTTGCTTTTAGAACCACCTTAAATTACTATGTAAACATTAATACTTATATTTGCTCACATAATTGAACATTCAAACAATATGATTAAATGTTAACTATCTTTTCTGATTTCATTGTTGATTAGGTTTTCTAGTATATTATTTCAAATTTAAATGTCACTCATTAAATCTAAACTAATACAAAATTACTCATAAATTTAAATCCTAACCTTTCTGAACATATCCTAATGTCACAGTCTAACATATCTTAATAGCTTCAAGAATACAGTAGAAAAAGAAACAAAACAAGAGTTTCCTGGAAGACAATTCTTGGGATGACGCGTTATGACGTCTTGTTTACGAAAGTGACGAAGCCCGAAAACTGCAGTTTCTCCAGTGCCCTTGCCAACAAGAGGAAAAGTCCATACGTCTCAGTGTGTCAAGTCAGTTTAATACCAGTGTTTGACTGTTCTTTCGTAGCCGAGCTACAAAGAGATCTATTAGTTGGTGAGTAGATCACATGTGCTGCAAAACTGATACACGAGTGGGGAAAGGTTGTATCAGTGTGTTACTAAATACACTGCTTACGAATAGGAAAACATAACTGAAATTTTCCGCTCTAAATATTTAGGAACTTCGTAACACGATGACAGAAGTGGATGATTCAGTCTTATTAAAAGATGTGAGCTGAAGAATCGAAAGCATTTGTGAATCTTTTGGTTCATAGGAACCTTTTGTAAAGAGAGGTGATTGATTATTTTGTGTTTCCTGTCGCGCCACATGCTAAGGTAATTTTCCCCGTAAATGTAGAAAACTTTATAGCACGGAGGTTGCGGATCGTTTCTTAATGGAACGATTGATTGATTGTGAGTGATTCCAGGCACGTCAACTACCAGGGTCATTAGTCCCGTAAGTGTACTGCATGTTTTTCCTCGGGAAGTGGCGGTGGTCTTCCCGAGCAACCCCTCCCCCACTGAATTTCGAGATCCGGCGCCGACCTACCATTGGCTAGTGGGATTTTCCCCAACCAGGTATCTCCCGCCATCGGGGCACAGCCCCAGCCGGGACAAACTAAGCCTCAGACCAGTCTCCAGCAATGTGTGCTGTGTAGTGCATGTAGTGTTAGTGTGTGTGTGTAAGGGGGGAGTATAGGACATGGAAGAGGAAGAAAAGATCGCGCGCCGTCCGTGGCCCATTTGTTAGGTTACTGCTCCGGCATTAACATGACATTGATCGAAGAAACCACGAAAACTTCCGATCAGAGCAGCCGCTTGCTAGAATTCTCCGCCAGACAGCAACTGAATTCCACCTAGCTGACAAGCTAGTGTCGAAAATCCTGCCACCGTCTGGACTCGAAGTTCCGACCTTCGGGGCTGCAGTGACATCAGTTAATGCCCAGAGCTATCTTTCCCCGTCCTTTCAATTCTCCTACTGACAACGGCGGAATTGAGGGAGGGATAGTAACATATGATACCAAACCGCGATGGCCGCGGCGGCGATGGAGAAGGAAAATTTACCTGTCAAGGCGATGGTGTAACGGTTAGCGTACTGGACTGTTGTAGCCCTAAGTTGGCGGGTTCAAACCCGATCGAAGCCGTGGATTTTTAAGGGCGAAAAAATCCTTCATACGCCTTCCTTCGGAGGGGAAGTAAAGCCGGCTGTCCCATGTTCGTAGATTTACTTGCATGTTAAAAATCCTCAAGCTTAAATGACGCCTCTGAGCTAAATTCAAATCGCCTGTTTCTCGCCCAAGATACACCTCCTTTCTCCGCTAGTTGGTGAAAGGAGCGTAGCGAAATTTGCGTGGTCAGACGGAAGAGCAGGCCTAATGGCCTGAGTCTCGCCACGTAAAATAAGGCATTCAATTCAAATTCAAACCAGCTGAAGCCGCTGTGCCTGCTGACAGCAAGTGTTACCAACACCGCTGTTGGATTTTGACTCAGAGGCGCTGCACCGACGTAGCGGCCTCTTGGAATGTTGGCATCCGGCCGCCAATAATTGACGCTTCTAGAGGCGGAAAATGGCAATTAGTGCATTTAGTTGGCACTAGATGTGTGGTGTCTTGTGCACTACGTTCTAACCTGCCATTGCAGTAGATGACGTGATCAAACCGTTTGACCCCTGTATTTATTGACCAGAAATTCATTATATTTCCTTAAATGTACTTTTCAGTGGTATGATTAACGGAGCTATTGAAAGGAAATACCGAGAAGAAATCTTTTTGCTGCTAATACAATAATAATTGCTGTTAATAAACTTTCATCTGTTAATAATATTTAGGCACTTATTACCTTAAAGAGATAATTATTTATGTTATTCTAAAACCATTATGGTGAATACGGATGGTATCTTTCCATATGAATGTAGTATGTGTAACAGAGGACGCACGTATATTACTGCTCGTGTAAAGTATACTGTTTTATTATACACTTAATCAAATTATGTGATATTCTGTCGCCAATGAACAATTCATGCGTTTGATAATACATTCGTAAACTTGCTCTACGGATTTCTTGCTCGGTGAACAGTCCGGTGCACAATTTCACGAAAATGTACTAGCTAATTAACTCCAGCAGGTGCAACGCATGTTTATAGTGTATACCTGGTACATTGTTCCACAGTTGTAAGGCTGCAATCGCTGTAGTTTTGGCTCTCTTCAGTTATGTCGTCATCATTAACATTCTGGCCATGCCTGTATTTTTACAATGTCGTATATATCAATTTCAGTGTTTTACAGTGGGTTAGTTTTAGAATTATATTTGTGAAACGTTGAAAATTTACCTGTCAAGACAGTAGCTGTAAAGAAAATGTGCATTGAGAAGTCGCTTTATTAAGCAATATTAACATGCTGCGCTTGTGGAACTAAACGTGTGATATCAAATAACACGAACAAGCGTGAAGATTAAATCCAAAGTGGTATATTTTTCTGGTCTGTCTTAAGAATGGATAAATTAATATGAAAATTATAGTTTGATAATTCATCGGGTTTAGCAAACCTGAAGGTGTTTAAAAAGCGTATCTCTGTTTAATTCAGTCAATTCTCAACTAATTTGAACCCGAAGGATGCTAACTTGAAGACTCAATGGCCGTGACATCTGGAGGGCTAAAAAATCAACTCTATTATCAAATTATATATGCATTGAAATGCACATAATGCACGAGATAAGTGCAACAGATGGATGCAATGCTCTAGCATCACTTCAATAACGTACTAAATAAGACCTTCAGTATCTCAGATCTGTCAGAGGGTAAAATATATTGACTGTATGTTACGCGAGGTATAAGTGACGGATTCAGAAAGTATTTCAAAATGGAGACAAATTTCAGTTCGTTCCCCCTTTTCTATAAATGCTTTTGAAAGATTTTTTTATTTGTTAGCTTGAATTCACATGAATTCAGAAATCATAATAGAAACTGGAAGTGATGGGATGAACTGGGTACATGTTTTGATTACGTAATTAGAAAAATGTCGTCTTAGGGGAGACGCATATCCCCTCTTGAATTCATCACTGCCAGATATTACCGTAACGTGTCCTACGAAATGTAGTCTGAAGCAATACCACTGACAATGTTATTTTGATAATAGTGAATCAAATAAAGATAATGAAGATTGAAGATAATGAGGAGTTAATATGAATAATTAATTTGTGATAATGCAATTGACTAACTGTTTTTGTTGAAAAAAATAATTGCTAATAAAAACTTTCTTTCAACTTACAGTAATTTGTTCAAAACATAGGAGGCGCCCTACTAGCTACCATGTGTCAGTATATATAAAAACCAGCCTAAAATTACTGATCAATAGGATTTACTCATATCAGAAATGACTGAAACTAAATTATGGCAGTTTGACCTTGCAAAATAAAGATTAAATATTAAAATGAAAGAACCACGTCCTAGTTTTAAATCTGCACTTCTGTAGCACAGATTGAGATTAAGCCGTGTTGTTGCCGGAAAGCTCTCTCTCCTTCGTATCTGAACATCCAGCAATAGTGTTACGTAGGAGCCGCGTTTTTCTCCGCTCGCTCCGCTTCGCTTTAGAAGCAGCGCATTTATGATGCGGTTTTATGGCGCGCCGTAAAAGACAGTTGAGTCGCGCCGCGCCCGCGCGACATCCTGACGCTTACGTCTTCCTTGATGACCTGCATCTTCTCATGCAGATTGGAGTCTCTGAGCAGCCGATGGTTTCAGATCACAAATTTATCGTCGAAAACAGTAAAAACAGTCGGTGACGTATGGTCGGTGACGTATTATCGGCGTACTTTTTCTTGAGCCCCAAACTCCTTCGTGACCATTTTACTATTGATAGTTTAATGATGAATATTCATAGTTACCGATAAAGTGTAGTGAGAAACATTTGAAAACTAGAGATTTTTCTCTCCCGAGTAATATAAAACTGATTTTCTTAGGAAAATGAACTTAAGACTTGATCGTATAGTATTGCTAAGAAAATAACATGCCACACCCGACGGTTCAACTCACACAACAAAAGAAGATCTCAACAAAACGTGCACGTAGAGCTACATTTTTGACCAGAAGCCAAAGAATGGATCATCTCAGCATTTTTTTCAATGGATGAAGGAAACTGGATCAAAAGCCCAAGTGTCCTATTATTCTGTGTCATAGTTTACTGTGGAAGCTTTCGCTCCCAGATTACGAGATATTCGGTTTCGAATTAGGGGTTGTAAAAAGTTTCAAGTGCTAATAAAGATACAAGTGAAAATACGAAATAAAATGTATTTGATATTCAAGAATATTGATGTAATATAGTATTTGACATGAAATGACAATCGGTGGTGTATAATTGTTAGTGTGGTAAATTTGCTAAGTATTTAGAAATACAAACAATTTCTTTTGTTTCAGGTACAAAATAATTTTTACATTCCCAGCAATATTAAGACACCGTCCACGTTAAAACATGGGTGACTACTACACGGTAAGTTGTACAAAAGTTCAAAGAAGCAGTAATTGATTCAGAATAAAATCTTGAAGGGTTTTAGTTGAAGTAATTAATATTAAAAATAGTGCATTAAGGTTATTTGGAATTGAAATAACGAATAAATGAAAAATATTCCAAATTGCATTGATAATCCAATTCAAAAATTACTTTGACATTAAAAGTAGTCGGTGGCCTTTTCTTACTACGCTATTTTAAGGCCATGTTCCAAATTAATGACATTTTTTCTCTTAACTCAAACACGGAACTGCAAGCGACGTCATACGCTAAGAAGTAATGTAATTGTTTTTTGTCTATTCATAATACAGAGTAAGAATAACATGTAAATGACCCTTGACTTTCTGGTTGTGTTGTTTCTGACAAGGCTGGGCGCAAATATTATTCACGGTTTGACCCGTGATGTTGAAGTTAATATCAGAAACATGAGTCCCTCGAGCAAAAAATTTCGAAACGGAGATGTCACATAATCGGCAATTCTTGCTTAAAATTCTAAAGAATACCTTACTACTTACTTTCATTTAAAATCGAAACTGTACGAGAAGCAATTAACAGTATTTTTTTCAAAAGAAAAAAGTGGTAATGTAATGTAATGGCAGTGTAAACGATAGTTTGAAACATTTTACTGGTTAGTGTTTCAGTAGTTCACGAGTTGAACACGACCTTCATTACAACTCAGTACTAACAATTGTGTGTGAATTACGTTCTCTAAAGTGGACAAACACCTAAATGTCAAAAATTCTTTCAAAATAAAACAAATGACCATAACACCATCACGTCCTCAACCAAAATAGTATAGTAAAATTTCGTATGTTTAAAATGAGAAAAGAATAATCATTTAGTAACGGCAACAACTATAATACCACGTGCGTTATCATTTTCTCTATCAACTCTTTACAGTTCACAACTGCTTAGTTTATTCTGTAAATGTGTAATTAAGTTTATTATTATTATTATTATTATTATTATTATTATTACTGTTATTTTTTATTCAAAACCAGAACGAATGAGTTGTGGCTGCTCAAACGTAGATTTGACAGCTTATGTACATGACATGCACACGTATTAACTCTCCAGTTATTAAATATATAGAGGATATTATCGGTAACTCAAATGCAAACGACAGCTTCTGAAGTCTCGTCTGGGATCCCGAAGTCTTGGGAGAGACGTTAGACTTTCCAGTTTAGCACGTGGAGGCGGAAGCACACATCCGGAGTTTATTTATGCAGCGACTCGTCCATTTCTGGAGACTGTGCAGAGCTATTATCGTAAGCCCTTAAAAAGGAGCATCAGAAATCTGGGTCCTGTAGCAGGTCAAGCGAAGTTATAAGAGAATTAGCTTGGAAACCAATATTTTTATTGTAACATAACCCATTTCGACAATGTATCATGTTTTAATGAAAACATCCAATGAAAACTTAAAATTAACATTATAGAAAAGTACAATAATGAAATAATAGTAATAATAATACTAATAATAATAATAATAATAATAATAATAATATGAATAATTGGATGATAGAAATGGTGATTCGATTATATTAAGATAGTGCAAGAAGTATTGCGTCAACATTTTGTGTCGAAAAATTAGGGCATAGTTCTTTAAAACCAGAAGAAAATTATATAAAACAGAAGTTGTTGGTAAATTGTTTGAAATTAATCGTAAATGAATAGTTCTAGGAGAAATATGATAATATCGACTGTGTTACACCCATTTATTTATCTACCCTTAGTTTATAAGAGCAGGCTAGTGGTTTTGTTCTTCATCCCATTTTGAAAGTGTCTAGTCAGCCATTGCAAGTGGTTTTTTTTTCAAAGTCTTTTGAACAGCACTACCATTTAAAAAAGTATACTGAATTTGTCGGGATATAAGAGGAGATCATTTAAGAAATAAGCGTGTCCCAATAAATTTTCCTTTTACTGATATTACATTTTTCTGTGTACTTCTGCTTTTAGCCTGAGCCTACTGTGTTTCCTGCATCTGGTTTCAATGCTGCAGAAGACGGAATGGCCTTAAGAACTGCCATGAAAGGCTTTGGAACCGACGAGCAGACAATCATTGACATTCTGACTCACCGTTCTAATAGTCAGCGCCAAGAAATCGCAAAATTTTTCACTGAAGAGTATGGAAGGGTAAGTTTATTATTTTTATTATTAGGTTTCAGAAAATAATTCCTCTTACTTAAATATTTTGTTATTTTTTTTTGTTTTGTTCCATGTACTATTTGTGGAATAATGATAAATGGTTTAATTTCACAATTCTTATAATTCTTTTATTTCTTTCCAGAATCTTATTGATGATTTGAAAAGTGAATTGGGAGGCCATTTTGAAGATGTTATTGTGGCATTGATGGTCCCTCATGTTGATTACTTATGCAAACAGCTCAATAAAGCAATGGTTGGAGCAGGAACAAATGAAAATACGCTAATAGAAATTCTCTGCAGTAAAAATAATCAAGAAATAAAACTAATTGTTGATGCATATGAGCGTTGTAAGGCATTTTTTATTTCATCATACATGCAACTTATTATAAGAATTGCACCTTTTCAATATAAAAAATGATACATTGTATAAAATGATAAGGATGACTATTTTTTTCTGAAAATGTAAATATAATGAACAGTGAAATGTACTCTGAGAGCCACCTTAATTTCTTGTTACTATAATTAGGTGATTCTCTAACAAAAAACTTAGTATACTACAGTAATACAATCGGATTTTTCTGAAATAACTTGCCAATTAAAAAAAAACATTAGATAGACCGCCACTCGCTGAATATTCTTTGACGAAGAGCCAACGTTCTGCAATAAAATAAGCAAAATGTTGACGCCTACATGGGCATCACTCTTGACACTCACGTAAGGCAAATTGCCTGCCCCTCAGGCGTCATATTCGCTCACTTTGGTGCGTGAGAGGTCAGTTTTGTCACTAGTACAACCAACTGTCAAATTATGCTTTTTGATTAATAATATTAATAATATTAATATTAATAATAATAATAATAATAATAATAATAATAATAAAAATAATAAAAATAATAATAATAATAATAAAATAAAAAATAATAATAATAATAAAAAAATAATAAAAATAATAAAAAAATAATAATAAGAAAATATAAAAAAATAATAATAATAAAAAATAATAATAATAATAATAATAATAAATAATAATAATAAAAATATAATAAAAAAAAATAAAAAAATAATAATAATAAAAAATAATAGAACAATACATATCCATTCTGTTAACAACTACATAAAATTTAACAATATTAGTATATGGGTGATCTGGGCTGTCCGGGTGACGCCGCGTCGAAGCTGAGTTGCCGACGTTTCGACCATCCTGTCGTGGTCTTCCTCAGGGCGGGTCAACAGGATGATCGAAACGTCGGCAACTCAGCCTTCGACCGGCGTCACCCGGGCAGCCCAGATCACCCACATGACTCTGGTCGCGGAAGCCTACGACTTCAATATTACTATATTCTTTATTTAAAACTTGAAATGGTGGGGAGGCAAGTTTTGACCAGGTTTTTTTCTTTTGGGCTTAGATGTAAGCTTATTTGATAGTTGTGTGAGGCTGTCTAGCTTTCAGAAATCAACCCAACATTTTTGGCCCAAATCCCCTTTAACTGTTCTTTCACAAAAAATGATCTCCACCTCTTGCTTTGGGAAGTAATTCCAGAAATGCCAAATGTATGATTGTGAATAAGCCTTAATAAAGTATGTGAAATATTAATTTGGTTACATTATCGATTCCAAAATGTTGCAGTATACGATCGCCCACTGGCAGAGCACGTTTGCAGTGAAACATCAAGTGACTTCAGGCGTTTGCTTACTCTTATTATAACGGTAGGTCACACAGCACTGCCTAAGAATTCCTTTTCATAATCTGAGTTACATTTCACAAATGAATCCTAATTACACAATTCATCTCTGATTAAGATGTAATTTTGTTTTTAACACATGAGTCACACGGAACATAGTTAAAGAACTTACTTTTTGCACAATTCAAAATATTAGAAAAATAATTTCTATATCACAATTTCTATGTACAATAAATTTATGATAATTAAATTTATGGTAAATTATTTTTGAAGTACTTATGAATTGAAATAGAAAGTTATGAATTAAAAAAATTGACAATAACTAACTAAATTTGCTGAATATGTGGGTTTTCATATTTTTTAAATAAATGGGATATTAACTCCTAGACATTAAATTCTTAATCAATGCAACATAATGTGTGCAAGACAAGATAGACATTGTAGCTATATGGAAATATGATTGTTTTCCTTCACTAAAAACAAAATGAATTACCCAAGTTGGTTGATAAACACTACAATTTCATTATTGGATAATATAAATTTATGCTCCTTTGACTATTCTGCAACTTAATCACATTTACTTCAACAAGCTTTCTCTTAACAAGCTGAGCTTCACTGAAACAGGTGCATGAGGGCTGCATGTGTATAAATGCTTGTGTAAGATGGCTGCTGACTTTCCTTGTAGGGTGTGAGGAATGACTTATCTGTGGATCGGGACAGGGCTCGAGAGGCTGCTGAACAACTCTATGCTGCAGGTATGTTTAATAACCTGCAGAAAATTGCTTGATGATTCTCACTAGCAGTAGCATAGTTAAGAGATGTTAAGGAGGATCTGGAGAAGGATGACTGCCTGGGTAGAATGTTTGTCAATTTTTTCTTTAAATTTAATTGATCTGGTTATACTGAATTGACGTTGGAAACTACTTCTTTCTTAAAGAACATATCTTTGTGGTCTCAAAATATTCCATTTGTGAACTATCTTTGTTTTAGAAGGTCTTGTAACATTAAGTCACTTTTTCAACAATCACCATAATCACCAATCTTCATTTTCACAAGTTATTATGAGCACTGAGCATGACACTAAACGATGAAGTAACAAATAAATGCCCTCTAACTTTTTAAATATCAGAAGACCCAATATGCCTCCCAGATATTTTTTACCTATGTTACTGCTCACTAGCTTGGTCTTAAGAATGCTCTAATTTGTTCTTGGTATTTGCAGAGAAAAAAATGCAATTGCTTATTTCAACAAATTTCATACTAGAAATTTGTTACATTCAAATTATTGCATACTAATCCTTCTTTTAAATTATTTTTATAAACCTTTCAGTAGACTGAAATATTAATGAATTTTGAACTAACTTTAAAAGATTTGTAGAATAACCTTTCATACACTAAGGGTTTTTGTACAAGTTCTATAATGTTAACTTAATTTTCTCTGAATATCCCTTAACCAATATATTAACATTATTTTCATTTAATATGCCAAGTTAAACATTGATGTAGTTTTCATATTCCTTTCTCATCTCGTTCACTAAAAACTTATACTGTTATTACATTCAATTTGTTTTCTTCAAAAGTTAGAATTTTTACTAGAATGCTTGTCAAAAGAACAAGATTTTAAAAATTAATTCTGTGCTTGATGAATAAAAATTCTTGATGAAAAACAAACAATTACTATAACTTTAATTAAAAGATATTAATAAAGCAGGCTCTTGATTTAAATATGTATCTCCTGTACAATTATAACAACTACATTTTCTTATTTCCTCAAATCTAAAAAAAATCATTGGTTTTGAATTGTCATGGTACTTTTTGTTTAAAAATGAGATGCCTAAGAATTTTTTTAATAATTTTGTTACTTCATATATATGAATGAGAATCTGTCATTAAAATTTCATCATGTAAAGACGACACATTAAAGCATGTATTTCCTGCTAGGATACTGAGAATCAGATAACAAAATTTCAACTTTTTAATTTCCTTTTAAGATGTAAAACACAATTACTTTTGATATTGGCATGCAACAAGCTTGATAATGCAAGTAATTTGTTAATCATTTCTTTTTGGCTGGGTGAATGAAACTGGACATTGTCTAATTTCTTTTTCCATTAGGGGTATTATCTTTTCTTTGCTATATCATTTGCTGTTATAATCATTAAATGATGCTTGAAATGTAAGTAGCATGAACAACTGTATTAGAAACACAAGTTTTATTCTCACCTTCAAGAAATTATACTTCGCATTTCTATCAAATCGGTGCTTTCCAATTCTTGCAGGAAGACAGGGATGACAGCTATCCACCTAGTCCTGCATATGCTCTAACTATGGCAAAATGCCTCCGTGACGCAGGCAGGTAGATTTTAATTGCTGGACATTTAAAAAAATCCTTTAAAATAAATATATTTTTTCTTGTCATACTTAAAAATTCTGATGTCATAATTTAAAATAAATACATTTCTGTTGTTGTTAAAAAAATTAAAAAGAGCATGTTTCATTTACCCAGTTGAAAAGTGATCTCAAAAAATATAGAAAAGAACATATTTAAAAATGGTTATTCTAACAATCACATAATTAAATTAATAATTTTCATTTCAATTGAAAAAATTCTTGTGACATTGAAATTTCAGGAGAGCTTAAGTTTGGAACTGATGAAGAAGTGTTCAATAAAATTATGGCTCATGAGAGTTTTCCACAGCTTAAACTGATATTTGAAGCCTATAAAGAAATTTCTGGACGTACTATTGAGCAGGCACTTCAGAATGAGTTGTCTGGAGAATTGTTGGATGCTATGTTAGCCATAGGTTTGTGAAAATAATACTTATTCTATCATTAATTTATTTATTTGGAATATTAGTTATTAATTTTTTAAATACGTTTTCAGTTGAAAATGTACAACACCCTCCAACATTTTTTGCTAAAAGAATTCATGATGCTTGTGAAGGTATGGGAACAGATGACAAAACATTGATCAGAATTATTGTAAGTCGAAGTGAAATTGACCTGGGTAATATAAAAAGAGAATTTGAAAGACTATATGATAAAACATTAGAAAGTGTTGTGAAGGTAAGGTAACTGATATATTAATACATGAGAATTATGTTCATGAAAATGTCATATTCAGAGGTGACAATTTTTGTTTTAGGGAGAGACATCTGGTGATTATAAGAGAGCTTTGGTTGCTTTGATTGGTGGACCTTGAGCAAGATGACAATTTTTAAAGTACTCTCAGTGATTTTGGGGTAAATGTAGAAATATGTCAAGAATGAATGAAAAAATTGTCAGAACAAATACTGTATTATGTGACAATTTTTAAAGTTATTTCATGTGCCTATTGTTGTTCAGTTCTGTGTAAAATATCAAAAAAAAAAAAGAAAAAACAACATAAAATACATTTTAATGGCCGTGTTTTATGAAAGATAAATCATTGCCTTTTTATTGTTGTTTACTCATATTGTTAAAGATCTTCAAAGGAATTGTTTGAAAGACTTTGATACATTATTAAATGTAAAAATAGTTTGATTGTTAAATAAAATATCCAGAAAGTTTTAGTGAATATCATAGCTCCTTTTGTCTTTTTGCCACATGTAATTGAAGCAAACTTAGTGGCAACTAATTGCAATTTAATAAAGATTTTTGTCATTCATTACTAGTATGACTATTGGAATATTTTGTATTGTGTGAAATATAAAAAGTAAAGTTGCCTTATATCTTCATATTTTAAGTTTCATTAAGAATCAGTGTGTCTTTGTATTAAATACAGTATTAAAAAAGTTGTGAAGAACAGTTTAATTACTTAATTTTCCTTTCTTGTGTGCTTTAGCAATAGATAGAAACTTCAACATTCAACTAAGTGGGCATCTTTTCAAAATAATTTCAACAGGTAAATTGGCTTAAAATATGTACTGGAGAGTATAAAAAAAGCTTTTCTTACGGGATATTTAAGTTAGTGTGGACACTAAGCTGTAACTGTCTTGTGGGTATTGTAACAAATGTATTTTTATCTAACCTTCTTTACTCATTAGAAAAAAATGATTTCCTTGGGATTCATCCTTAAAAAGAAATAAAACGATAAGATACATTTATTCAGGCATAATTTAGTTTCACAAAAATTCCAATACCAAATTTTGATAGCAAGAGAGAAAAAGATCATAATTTACTTTTTTTTTTCAGGCCCTTTGATATCAATTCAATTAGTGGACATTTCTTTACAATCCTTTACTATTCATCAGTTGACATTGAAATATAAGCAGTTACAATCGTTTACAAGTAAACCTGTATACATACTACTTCAGTGCCAAATCACATAAAATAAGTTCAGTGGTGAAGCCAAAAGAGGGAGGCTCAAGGAGCTTCAGCTCCCCCCCCCCCCCTCCCAGAAGGCAATGTCATGTAAATACTAAAAATATAATTTTCACTAATTTTCTATACTAACAAAAGACATTCAATAAATCGTTTACTTTATGAATATTAACTACAGTAAGTCAACAAATAAAAATAAATTTCATCTTCAGTATAAATTAAAAATTCTTTATACGAAAACATCAGGTCTTGTGGACTCTACACCAGTACCCTACTCCAGAAAAATCCTGGGGTCTCTGAACATGTCACTTAATGTAATTTGACCCTGTAAGAAAGACCTGATGGCAAAATGCGGTGCTTGAATGAAGACGAACGACAATTTTTGTGCGATCTGCTCGGGGCTACGTCTGTCGTCTGCGTCCCGCGAGTTATTTTTTTCTAAAACTCCCTTTGTAACGCGATTTACGTTATGGGATTGTAATATAGTAGAAGTTGGCTCGTTGGCGCTGGAGCTTAGGGCAGGTGTGCTAAGAACACGGACACCAGGGTTAGAGTTCGAACCCCACGTGAAGCGTCGATGCTTCCTGTGTCGTAAGCATTCACAGACCTTTACATCCCAAACCTTAATCCTTCCTAAATCTCTAAAACTCACCTGTTACTTGTATGTAATGCTATTATACAAAAAAATATAGTATGCAACTCATTTATAACGTTGCTTTATTACATTCGTACAAATTTGAAAACTCGCTCCTAAAACTCGCTCGTTTTCACATGTACTCATGCAATAAAGCTTAACATTATAAACTAATTGCATAAACTACTACTGTAAAATTCTATAATACAGTAGACGGAACTACACTTCAGAGTCCAGGAACTCACTCACTGGCGTAAAAGACTCTTTGCCTCTTTCAAAAATGTATGTTACATTATTGAAAAGAAAGGAAATTAAATACCATTTATTCTTTCAGAAGGAGAGGCAGAAAAAGGACAGCAACGGTATTAATAGTTTCACAGTTCAGAGAGATTATTGTACCGTACTGTGGATATTCAGATCTTGACTTTGAGTGGGAGAACTATCAAATCCGCCAGACGTGATGGCATAAAATTGCATTTATCTGGAAAATGGCATGCGATGACCAATTTTTAATAACGAATTCGTGTTGTCGAAAAAATCTAGTAAGTGAGCAGTTTTACTTTGAAAGAACGGTTACGTTTTTAATGTCGACTGACGAATAATATGTCATTTGGAGGCGTGTTAGTGCTAACGGTAGATAATCCTTTCAAAGCAAAAGTAATTTTTTCTGTTGCATTTCGTTTCTTTTTTTTTCTGTTGTTTACCATTAAAGACTGCGCTAATCCAACAAAATGTCAATAATAATATTTTTTTCGAATTAAACAATTTAGCACAAAGGAAATGTGAAATATGTATCCTTCTACTACTCAATACAATCTATTTTACTGTATTTTCTCTCTAAAATAAATATTGCAAATAGCTACTGATCAATGAACCCTGACCCATTTCTATTGTGTTTGTCCAGTTTTCCTTGTTCTTTAGAGCTAATACTGCGACGGTCCAATTCTTTTCTTTGAACATTTAGTTGTATTTGGAAGCTTTAAATGAAATTGCTGCCCAAAATAAAAATTCTTTTTGAAAAATAATAGTTTACTTTACATTTAAAATGGCGTTGGGTTAATTTAAGAATAGATGGAAAGAATAAAAGTGTCGATCGTAGAAACCTGCAACCGAACCAATTAAATGTTAAATAACTTTGTCTTTAAAATATAGCAACGGAATTGCCAACTAAAAGATTTTAATATTTCTAGATAATTAGACAAGATCATTGACAACTTCGCAAGCTCTGCCTACCATGAAATTTAATTACAAATATTTTCTTGTAATTAACGTTCTTGTACCTACCACGAGATTTAATTACAAAGATTTTGTGGATTTTCTCAGAATGAACGGGCGAGAAATTTACGCATTCAAAAAATATTTTCATTTTTAAAAATTGAATCTTTCTTAAGATAGCAGATCCTTTTGAAAACATGTTTTAGTTCATAATATTCATTTTTGCATCTATATTCATTCGTCATTTAATAATCTGTCATTTTATAATCTAGTCCGTATAACAAGTTTTTTTTCTTGTTGAGATTTCATTTGTAGACAACTATTTGGAACAATGTTTGACATTGGAAAATAAGTGTTAATCTCAGTTACCGCATATGCTAACATAATTCGATAGCTGTCCAATCACCACCATGTCATGGCAGTGGATTTATGTGTGAGAATTAGAAACATTGATACTTCCGCATTTTTATAAGAAACACCCACCGTTAATATTAAGGACAGCTATGCTTCTAACGAGACTTCCGCTTGAAGATCCCCGTCAACAGATCAATGAGGGTCTTTTGGCAAAGCACCAACAAGCTATCCCCTGTTTCGTTAAAATTTTCATTTTCTGCCTGCAAATCTCTACGGTAAATTTTGAAAAGAAAGGTTACGAATTATTACAATGGGCGTATTTCGCGATGTATCTAAAAATAATTAACAGGCACGTACACTAAGAGATTTAAGAAATTTGTATATTTTGAGAAATCGTTTTAACATTTTTTTTATTTTAACAATATTTTTGTTCTTTAGCATCAACAACACCCTTAAATCTGCGGAGAAGTTGCAATGTTCTTGTCACAATTACCTTGTCCGAAAAATATAATTTAAAAGAGCCACGGTGCACTTTCGGGGACAAATAACGAGAACAAAGACATTCTCTGAAACTTAATTTCAAGCCTAATTAAATTTATGAATTGTTCTTGTGATAAAGAGACAATTTAGAAAACTTTTTTCATTGAGACAAAGTTAAATGTATTGAATAACATGCATATTGTTTTGATTCTACTGAAACTGGACGAATCGTGCATGCCAGCTATTTAGTCAGTGATATGATGAATGGATAACGTAGAATGTACATTGAGAAATTAGTTTATTAATGCATCAACAAACTAGTGCATATGCAATACATATTTAATTAAATGATTTGAGAAAGGGAGTACTTCAAAATCCACTTCGTCTCTCTAGTTCTAATAGAAATTGAAATGAAATAAATATGCAGTAGGTCGAAACAAAAACGAAATAAAATTCCTTCTTTGTTTTAATCTCGAAGACCTTGCATTTGGTAAATTTCTGACTTCAGCCTTGTGTTGATATGTGTTAGATCCTTATTACGTTCTTTAGCTGTCTTTCTAATATTATAAGGATTTTTCTCTCAAATGTATCACATTCATGTGCTTCACTCACGCTTTTATTCAAAATGACAGGAGTTCAATCCCGACTGTATTCATTGATAGGTGTAACGTTCTTTAAAAATAATTTTATTGTATTTTTTCACATATTTTTTCACAATATGTGAAAAGCTTTTTCTTCACATAATATGTAAAAAGTTTTTTTTTCTCATAATATGTGAATATTCAGAAAATTTAGAGAAATATGTGTTTGAATTATATGTTTGCATTCTTTACTAACACATAATTCAAACACACGTTTCTCTAAATTTTCTGTATCTCATATTTTAATGAAATTATTGGGAAATACTGCGTTATTTCTTTCTTTATTGGTAAGAGTATATCACTATCAAGAAGGCTGAGTGAAAGGAGAAGCAATGCTGCAATGTTGGGATGACGCACGCGTTCATTCGCGCGTGAAGATTGCGACCTCGCTAATATTCTTAACAATGGAAAAGAGCGGCAGATGTGATTCAGGCGCTGGCCACCAGAGAGCAGCTGCTGTCGCGCCGCCAGCCTCGCAGCCGCAGTGACGTAGGCAGGACCTCGCTTCGCGTCTCCGCCGTCTATTTATGCTAGTGACGTGTTCACGCTGCAAATCCTTCGGCTATCGCACTCGTACACATTCAGGAAGAGGCTGACTGACGCTCAGACACGTGCTGCTTCCAGATTTCAGGTGAGTCTCAGCACGATGTCGTTGACACGGATACTAATGTCGTACATTCTTTGCGAAGTATGCCGGTGTGTAGCTTCAAGGTCGTGTTTTGTTCGTCCAATATACTCATGTAGTTACATACTTTGGAATACATGTAATGATATTTGTGACTTCTATATTAGTAAATAGAACAAATAGCAAACATTAACCTATTGTGGCGTTTGATATAATGCAATCATTACTGAAAAGAAATGTCAATGGAACCACGATTCGGATGTTAAATGCGTCAGTACGGCTGTGGATTTGACCCGGAAAGTTTTTTAAATTCCGTAGATAAAACTGTGTGACCGTGTATTTTCTTATCGATTTAAGTACGGCCCAATCCGATGTCAAGCCGTGTGACAATTCGAAATCAATGAACTCTAGAAATATTTGATAGGGATCGTCCTGCAGACCTTGAATTCTGTCACTGAGTCAGCTGGGAACAGGGCCACCAGCTGGGTGTGGTCCTCTTTTGTCACGGAGTCATACTTCGCGCCGCTCTAATGAATGAATCGTCACGACCCCTGGGGGCTTGTCTGGCGGTGAATGTTTGCCGGTCACGCCATCACTCGGGGGTGTTAGTCATTGCTCAGTAATGCGTTACGTGTCAAGAGGGGGGGCGTTTAGAGCCGAAACGAGGTCTGGGAACTTCCGGGCAAGGAACTTATAAAAATGAAAGATAAAACATGAAGCGTTATTGAAATGGAAAACCTTCTTTAAGTCAGCAAAAGCCTTAAATTACAAAATAATATTTTCTTTAGAAAATATTTAATGATTATTCTTCATTTTAACATAATGCTATGTTGATAAGGTCCTGTCAACTCTTAGTATCCAATGTGAAAAATGACTTCTTTTCAGGAGTCTCAATTAATTGATTCAAACACATCAATAACATCAGGGTTCAATAGTGGGATTTAAGATTTTCCAAAATGTTATCTCATTCACCAAGTCTTTGTACATATCGCCTTTGAAGAACCGCCAAATGACCATAATGAGAAACCAGCGTTTGTACTTTCGATACATTTACATTTGACACGTCGACAATATTATTGTGGTAGGGATTGAACACGTATTTTTATTTTCTTTACAACGAATCTTCTTGAGTATATTACTTAGTATTCAAGAATCCTTGAGCTTCATGTAGCAGTCACACGAACACTTTCCCTTTTCATGCATCCGTGCACGAGGAAATTAAAGGTCTAAGAAAAAAACGTCCCATACGCTAGTTGGATAGATGTGTGACAATAGATTTGAAAAATACGTCTTCCAAAATACTTATTCGCATATGATAGCTTCAGTAAACACATTTTTTTTAAGTTTTTGTTAACCTTTAAGCAAAAGCATATGAGCAATGTCAACAATGCCATAAATGCAAATCGCTATGTCAACCACATGAGTATTACAAATCACTATTGTAGTAGACCGGGACATAAGTATTCGTTAATTCTATGAGTCACTGTAAAAGAAAGACCATCGCAGTCACGAGGTCGTTACTAATTGAATTGTGTCACAGACATTTCTTTTTTATGATTTTTATTAGCAGATACTCGAAATTTGATGTCGGATTCTCAGTTTAAATGACACATTAAATCTTCAAATTTTATTTCATTGTGTAAATCGAAAATGAGTTACATTTGCTGAGACATTTTAAACTTCATTGTTTCGAATTTCTCTCGTGTATTATTTTCAGTGTCCTTTAAGCTAAATTGATCGACACTTCTATCAGATTTTCAAAAATTCGACTTAAATCAAGCTCGATATCAGAGTGTTCCTCTTGCCAACTTTTCGATATAGTTACAAATCCTTAACGAATATGGACCAGATTTTGACGAGACATATTTTAAGGATATTTAGTAGTTCCAGAAAATAAACCGTAGTAATTAAACTAAATTAAAGAAGGTAAACATTTTTCCTTCTCTACTTAACTTAAAATGCTTGTTCATCTCTCATTCTCCACCTCCTATTTACAGTCTAAAGTTTACTCTCCGCTCTCTACTAATTGAAACCTTGTGACAAAAGTAAATATTGTAGTAGGCGGATAATATTATGTAGTTGCGAGAATGTGGCAATTAATATTCTTTACAAATAGATTCTTAAGAAAGCGAAAAACTTATGTCTTAACATTTCATTCTTTCGAAGTCGATAATTAATCGAAATCAGATAAATAAACTTAATAGTAGCGATGATAGTTCCGGTCCTTATATTGTTAATTCATGACCTACAATTCGTATTTGATTAGCACGACAACGACCAGTTCGCTACGGGCGCGAATCAATGCTTACTACGGGCTCTGCCAACATCTCAGCTTCCTATGATCAAAAAGTGAACGACGTGTTACGATCTCCGCAAATTACCCTTTGAGAAGGAGCAGAACGTTAAAAGTAAATGTAAATAGTTAAGGTCTGTACTTCGGCTTAATTCTTTAGAAAAAAACGTTTTTACGTCATCAGGGTGCGGTTGGAGGATGTGCTGAGAAAGAAAAATCCTTTCAGGTGGTTCGATACTATAAAAAATTGATTTGGCGCATAATTTCATTCTCAAAAGTCGTGGTATTTACAAACATTTCTTGCTGGCGACGTTAGTTAGTATTTCTGAAGAGACATGGATACTTTTTAGTAAAATATAAAGGAATGATTTGCCTGAACAAATATGTTTGAATTAAATATAATGAAAATAGTGTATAAAAAGTAGACCACAATTTTTTCTCATCCCCTTTATTGACGTTGACATGTAATATCTTCCGGCAAAGTAGATGAAACGGTCTAATATATTTTTCAATTAAATTGAAGTCAAGATGTCGGCTGTCACAGTGATTCTATTACCCTCGTTATTGCTAATTATTCACAACAGAAGATCGGACTAAGCAGTAAAATACACAAAACGTTGAGTGTTTACCTAACTTTTGTACCATTTGTATAACGTTACTTGCATATTCATTTAATTTTTTATTCACTATCTACGAACTGTGTAGTGTACTACCTTATTACATTTTTGTATTGTACTTTCACGCATAATACTTACGAGGAGAACAGAAACTTATGGAATAATGCGAAGAAAAATGGCGGAATTGCGCCAGATACGTCGTGGTTTATAGTAGGTCCCCGAATCCGAAAAAGGGGATACTTCTTGGCGAATATACGGGAGAGATGGCTCAGGGCATCAACTGATGACATTGCATGTCTCTCAGACGGGGTCTTAAGTTGGAGTCCCGACGCTGTCAGAATTTTTCGACACTAGCTTGTCAGGTAGATCGAGATTAGTCGCTGTCTGGAGGAGAATTCTACCGACCGATTGCTCCGATTGGTAGTTTTCTGTGGTTTCTCCGATCAATGCCAGGCGAATGCCGGAGCAGTACCCTAACAAACGGGCCACGGACTCAGAGCGATCTTACATTCCTCTTCCTTGTCCTATCCTAACCACTTATCTCCTCATACTTACACTTACATGCACCACACTACCGCACTTGTCGGCAGTCCTGGCTGGGGAAAACCCCGCTAGCCTACGGTAGGTCGGCGCTGGGTCTCGCATTAAAGCGGAACAAAGACCACCGCCACCTTCCGAGCAAAAACATGCACTACACTCACGGGATTAATGACCTCAGAAGTTGACGTGCCCGGAATCACTTACAATAAATCAATCTTGTTCCTTTATATAGTAAATTACTTCCTCTAGCGTATTGTGAAGTCAGAATCCATGGTTCGTTGGTTCTTGATACCGAAAAATCGATCCCTCCGTCCGTCTCTCCGTCCGTCCCTCCGTCCGTCCCTCCGTCCGTCTCTCCGTCCGTCTCTCCGTCCGTCCATCCGTTGATTCTGAACAATTTATTTTACTGCAAAATGTGTTCAGACAGTCCCAATTCCGCGTACACAAAACGTAAACACCAAAACGGCGCGAAGTGCCGGGTTCAGCGGGACGTCCGGCCAAGCCGCGCCGTTGCGTTCTTACCGCGGCTCCGTTTCCACCGACGCGTGAAGGCCGGATGCCGGCGCGGCGCGGCGCGGCGGTTTCACCCGTGGCCTCGAGACAGAGCCGGGAAATGCCTGCGCGCGGGCGAAGGAAGCCACAGAGCGCAGCCAGTGTTGGGTTCGCGCTCAGAGAATCCGGTCGGCCGCAGCGGTTGGTGGGTGGGACCGGCGCAGTTCAGACCGGAAGAGGAGTTCAGTGGAACGTCTCGAGCCATTTTGGTATGTTTACCCTACAGCGGTTGCCCGCGCTCTGCGAGTGTGGCTTGTTTAAACGTTCGGAAAGCGCCCGCTTTTAAGGGCAGTGGATGTTTGTGTTGGAATTTTAGATTGTGTTTTCCTTTCGGAGAAAATCGATCGTTATTTCGCAATGGTTCAGTTGGTGTTATTTCCCTCCTTGGATGGTTTGGTAATTCTGCAATATAATCATTTTTAGACGTTTAACTATTAAGCCATTACACTTAATGATGAGCAATACAATATGTGATTGAACTTTGAAACTATTCTCTTAAAAAAATCAACCGGAAATATATCTTAATTTGAAGGCAATACTATCAGAAATACCATACCATTCTTATTATTTTTTCATAAAACATTTTTCTTCAATCAACAATCCAGAACACTTAATACTTTTACATTAGAATACGAATAGTATTTTGGTATGTCATCACTCTGGAGGACTTTTTATCGTGGATTTTCTTTGCTTCCAGCCTTCTTTTATCGGAAGAAAGTAGCTCACATTATTCCGTTTGCAATCAGGTGTAAGTATTTTTCAGAACCTTCGGAAATTCTGATCGCAAATTATTTTTTGGTTGTAATATTCAATTATTTCAAGGTAGAGTTCAATTCTGCTTCAAAAAAATTAAAACTTTTGATTTAAGCTCTTAATTTGCTAATGGGATGTTAATAGACCTGTGCTTAAAAGGATTCCCCTGGCCGTTCAGAAGGGAATATATTACTAATTTTTAACCGATGATCTGCTAGACTTGGATCAATAATCCATAAAATCCATAGAAACTTTGTAAAAACTTTGAAAAACAATTGTAATTTTAAATTAGAATAACTATTTTATGACTGAAAATTAATGACTAAAGTTGTTGTTGCTTTGCAGATGCTTTTTTTATGTCATTCAGTTAAAAAATGCATTTATTTTTTCCTGATGTGTTATTGCTTGTTATTGCCTTAGATACGGATCTCGATATACACTGCATAACTTACGTGGTCGAGAGGATCGTGGTTACGAGGGAAATATGAAAACAATTGAATGATGCTACACGTTCCCTTATGGAGAGAATTATGAAAGGGAATTATCGGGAGGGAAATACAAAGAGAAAACCAGAGTCAAGTTAACATCTCATTAATTGTAAATAAGTAAATCTGAATAATTAGTGGGGGGGAAATATTGTATACACCACGGGTGTTCACTGATTCTAATGATCGAGCGGCGACAAGTCTGAGGGCGTTTGCTCCAAAATATTAGCTGTGTACAATATCAAGTCATGAGTTAAGCGGATGACATGGCAGAAAAATACACATTTACAAAGGCGATGGTACTGGATGTCAACACTACGCAACGACAATGTTGTCGACTTTCTGACTGTGGTTTTAAACCTTCATCAGGAATCGCAATGTAGAACCAGGTGACGGAAATGAATATAATGAACTTGATACTCTTGAAATTGGACATGTTACTCTCAAGTTCCTTATGTTCATTTTTGTCATCTGGTTTTGCATTTATATTCCACGAAAGTTCCCAACTACAGTCGAAATGTTTACAACCTTAGAATTACATGAGTTGACGTTCGACATTGTTTTTGAAAATGTGTAATTATTGTCAATTTTCTGATGTCTTGAATTGAGTTTTTTTATCTGTACAGTCACAGTTACTTAAAGTTTTTTTTTTAAATGTCATGTTCGATTGGAAATAATTACAAATTAAATTTTTACTCAATATTATAATAAGGAATTTACTAAAACAATAAGAAGACTCGTATGGAAGACCTTCATTGTCCTTTATGTCAATGAGGATGAGATGCTGTCTGTTTGTTATATGATATCGGAAATCTCAGAACTACTAATACTAGATAGCTCTTGCGTGTATTACTCTGCTCTTAGAGTGAGTAGAACGAGTGAGGAAGAAAGTAGAAAAAGAGTGAAAGGAATTATACAATGGGAATAAATGCTTCTATTACATTCTTTCTTTGGTGGTCGATTACTCGTGAATGTCGCTTTCAATGATGACGCGGCTTTGTAATACCTCAAGCACTGAAATGAATATTAATAAAATCTGTTGATTTCTCTCTGTTCTAACAACGAAGTACGTCACACTGCCTCAAAATTCGAACAGTTAACCAACATGTTGACAATCTCCTTTATCTCTTTGAGGAAGTTGCTTTAGTTACCTATACGCCAGTGCATTCCTGCACACTGTAACTTGCGTGCCAGATCGGATACGTCAGCTATGTCTGTTCGATTGCAATGTGATGCTAAGGAAGGGGGCAACTTCATGAGATGACACAGATGTTTGCTACACGTATTCGTAATGCACTGAGTTAGCTGTTCGAGAAATCGATGAGACTTCAGATATCACAACCTTGGAATGGATTTTGAAATTCAGTGTTATAAAAAATATTTTCGAGCTGACGAATTTATTATTTCAAAAAATATTGACCTTTCTCTACGTTGGAAACTGTGACATTTTTGGCAGGTCTAAAAAGTATTTTAAGAGAGGGCAGTTTCAGTTTGGGTCCTCTCATAAAAAATTGAAATTATTTTTGAATGTTAGTTTGAAATTTAAAATAAATACAATATATTTATAATGGAATACCCATGAAGATGTAATATCATCAGGGTGTGATACTTCTTTGAAAACAGATGAGTAAAATTACGAAAACTGTTGGCCACTGCCACTTTGTTCTGGATTGTCAAATGCTTCTTGTTACTATATTTGGGTATTTTGATTGCACACATTGGCTTCCGTTACTTCCGTTAACATTATCGGTATCAGGCTGTACGGCTCATTTTTAGAAAGTAGTAATTGGACTTGGAAACCGCAAGAGTTAAATGACTAGAAAACTTCCGCTTGATAAAGCTGTTGGATTGGAATAGCGTGTTTGCTCATATTTTTCTTCTTTCCTGCCTACATACAGTTAAATTAACAGGTATTGTAATTTGATCTTTTTCTAACAAATATTATATATGAAAAGATGCTAGTTTTTGGCAAATTCTTCTACCTAATTACAGTCTTGTATTTTTTTGTCAATGCTTATGTACATGCAAAGTTGCTATGGGTAGTTTGTCCGTCAGTAATATACCTTAGATTTACGCCCGTGCACTGATACATGTCAGTTCTTTCACATCATGTGTAGATATCAGTAGCACGAGCCATTAGAAGCTTTTAGCTACAGTGGCGTTTTAAATTGTATTGTACTAGAACACAATGTAATATGTAGAACACAAATATATTTTACATCGAAAACAGAAATTAATTGTTTGTGATGTTTTGGAGATATATAAACTATTTTTTCTGCCTAGAAGCAAGAACAAAATTGTCTCAGATCTCTCTGAAAGGATCAAATGGCAGAAGAAGGCAATCGAGAAGGAGACCACTTTCAATCGAAACTTTTCTGCAAACCATGATATCTACAACCAAGTTACATTTGATGTAATTATTCTGTATTATGTTGCATGTATTTTGTTTATTTCAGGGTAAATAATAGATAAATACATATTTTGTCAATCAATTTTCTTACTTCACGCCTCCTTTCATATCAACTCTGTTAACGTTCACTTTTGCACTTTGGTACAATTAAAGCGTATAATATAATAAATTGCTGTTAACGATCAGTTTTTGTTTGGTTTTTTTTTGTTTCCTTCGTTCATAATATATCACACCTTAAAATGCCACTGAAGCTAAAAGCTTCTAATAGCTGGTGCTATTGATAACTACGTATGTGAAAGAACTGGCATGCAATAGTGTATGGGCGTAAATCTAGATGGCGATAATATTTAAGGAAGCTTTGCTGTGTTGAATTGTTTCCATCTACTTTTATGCCTCAGAAGCCCTGCATTCGTAAATGCCCGTTTGTCTCGCGGTATTTAGTATCTGGACAGCATAGTTGCTGTGCTTACATACATTACAATGACGGCACTAGAAAGCAATACTGGATTATATGTTCTCGCAACGAATGTAGCTCTATAGAAGCTAAGTAAGTGAAGTTCAATCGAAAGCATCAGTGTCCATTTACGACTGTCTGCCTCACTCGGCCTAGAGATAGGCATGGGGGTAGGTTGATATTTGACGTACTAATTATTCGAACTCTATTCACAATTCGGCACCTAAACATTTGTTTTAAAATGTGGGAACACTATAATTATGTCATGATTCAAACGAGCCCAGTCTTCATTCACAAAACACTTCGCATTGAGAATTTTTACTGTTTCGTCATTAATCATTATAAAAATTCGAATACAATTTCTAATATTTAAATAAGAATATTTTGTCGGTCATTTTATTTGAAATTTCAAACATTTCATGAAATATATCGTTAACATATTTTTCTATTCATTTCTGTAATTTCTGTACGATAAAATTCGGAGAGAGGGAAAATCTCTAAAATTTCATCGAGTGCTATGCCACTGTTATTCACAAAATCATATTTGTTCCACATTAAAGTAACAAGATTAACGTCTTCAAACGCTCTTAAAATCAGTTTTCTCTGTCGCACTTTTCTTCTCAATTCCACTGCACAATTTCCCTACAAATGATAATTAGTATTAAACAATAGGCTTGTAAATGTAAGATTCGTGACTGACTCTAAGATTAGACACATGTAGTTAGACTTATTTAGTTATTTAGTTATTTATTTAGACTTATTTAGTTATTTCTGGAATGAGGATTATTACACAGAAATTTCAGGTATTCGTCTCTTACTCTTCTGCGAGTTCTGAAATGCCTCCTGTTTCTCAATATTTTGAGCAAATAGATATGTCTCTTATAAAAAAACAGTGGAAATCCAAGTCAAGTCGGTTGCCATAAGACAGACACATCAGTCCTGTCATTTCATTATATACGTCATGCAACTCGAAATTTGAAGTTTTTAATAGCTCAGTCCCTAACGATCTCACATTACGCAATGCAGATGTGAAAAGGCAAAAAAAAACAGAACATAAATCACGTCTAACACATCATTCGAATTCGTACCGAAATGGGTACGTTGAGTTCGCCGTTGTATTAAAATGGTTGTATGTGCACGAAATGCATTGCCACTGCGTGAGCATTCTATTAACGACCTACCTTGACAAAGTCACGCGATGCAAGCAAAGACGTTGCTACAAGTACGCAAGACATTGCTCTCGGATAGGGCAAGAGCTACACACATTGCGTAACCTCTTTGCATTTTCTTCCTCTTGTTTTTCAGCACGAGATTAGTTACGGACGTGTATCGACTTAATCGCAATAGTTGTGAGGTGGCGCACATACTAGTAACTACCGCCTGCAACAGCAACATTGCTGCTGAAAAAAAAAAACACTCAAAATGTTTTTTCCAAAAAATTGCACACGCGCTGCTCACGGACAAGAAATAAAATATTCTTATAAATCACTGCAATAAATTAAATAAAAAAGTCTTCACTAATATTGTAATAATGTTGTACAGTATAATTATACAGTACAACATTTCTTTGCATAACAATAATATCAAAAAGTTGCTATTCCAAAGTGCAATACGTGAATAGCATATAATGAATGCCGGTGGCATTTTCCTTGGAGCTTTGCTGTCACATGACGTTAGCTATATCGAAAACAGTGACACTCTGATTATAGAATTTCGTCGGTACGTATAGTATAAGAATTTACGAAAATATAAAATAACATTTTTGTATGTTTTGGTCCAAATCGAAACGTTTTCATATTTTTTGGTATATACCTGAATTTTTTGACTTCTAACAAAGTAGTAGACACCTCTCACAGCCGAAGGCTGAATAAATTTCGTCACTTTCTACGCGCATTGAAATTAAGTAATTAGATAGAAAGGTCGTGATTCCAGCGTAAAGATATGATTAGTTTTTTAATGAAACTCGCTAACATCTTCGTAAAAGTCTTGTCATTTGCAACCTAAGTATTAGTTACATTTATTTATTTAAAAAAGTAAACATTTTATTCTAATTTTAAGGAGAATAAAAGTTACATCTTCAGCTACATCGGAAGCAAAATGAAAGATGGTCTCAGTTAAGGATCTCAGGGTAAAGGAAAACGGGACGAAAACCCGATGAGAAAAAATCGATGTGGACATCAAAACAGTTCTCTCTTCGGAATTTTTCACCCGTTTTAAAGTGAACATGGCTAATTAATTAGCTAGATACGGACTTAAACATTTTAACATTCGGTGTATATATTATAAATAAAAACTGATAAAAAAAGTCATCAGTTTTTATACACAAAGATCGCGTGAAAACATGAGTATTAATCTTATAAGAAAAGAAACTGACTAACACATCACAACAGAGCCAGAACTACTGAAAGAAGAAACGTAAAATTTGGCATATATTTATTACGGTATAGGCAATTCCTATGAAAGTTTTTTTTTAATTCACTCCCTCCGTTGTAAAGAGAGAGTGTGTTGAACTATTGTTTGTTTAATGCAACCCACAATGCATCCAGGCATTGCGGATAGCAGGGCTGCGAGCGAGCTAGAGAGAAGCATGATCAGGACAGGTCCGTGCGAGGCGAGGAGGGCGAGGTGGGGCGGGAAGGGGCTGAGTAGTGAGTTAGGATGAGCAGGCTGATGCACAATAGAGACACTGGGCGCAGATGGGCAAGGAGTGAGGAGTGAGGTAGAGATGTTAAAGTGGTGGGTGTGTGGCGTAACGAGACAGACCAAAACGACTGACAATGTGTTTGGTTGAGTTGAATTGAATTGATGCTTTATTTTACGTGGCGAGACTCAGGCCATTAGGCCCGCTCTTCCGTCTGACCTCGCAAATTTCGTTACGCTCCTTTCACAAACTAGCAGAGAACGGGCAAAAAACGAGAGAAGAGGCGATTTGAATTTAGCTCAGAGGCATCATTTAGGCTTGAGGATCTTTTACACGCAAGTAAATCTACTAACATGGGACATCCGGCTTTACTTCCCGTAGGAAGGCGTACGAAAGATTTTTTTCGCCCTTAAAAAGTCACGGCTTCGATCGGATTTAAACCCGCGTACTTGGGTATAACAGTCCGATACACTTACCATTACACCATCGTCGCTGCCATATTTGGACAAAATTAATTCATTATAACGTTGGCGCATGTTGTGACCGGCCATATAGGTTTTCACATTTCGTTCTTGGCTTACACTGACGAAGAAAAAATAGTTGTTACAAATTTTGCGGGATACTTCGTCATTAAGTTGATTTATTACCGATATTACCTCTTTTTTTCGTACGGTAAAAGGGTACCATTTACCAAGAATTTTATGATGCTAAAATGATTAGTCATTGCGGCTTTCAAGGCAACCAACTTCTTAGAAAGTTACTTCCAGTCAAGTACTTTTTTATTATTACAAATTGTCTTTTCGAAAAATGAAAAATGCACAAAATATTGTATACAACGCGAGATTAAACAGAGGGAAATCAAGTCACTCGCGATATTACTCGTATGTTCTTGATACACATGGGACAAAATTTCTTCCTTATGTATAACACTATTTTTATCATTTGTAGTATAATATCTATTAGTTTGAGCGATAGTGCTTTCTCCCTCTCTTTTAATATGAAAAAGTGCTTTTTAAATTAGAGAATTGATATATTTTTTGTTACAGGTCTTCTAAAAAAGCAATTTTAATTTTATCTTCGAGTCTGAACATGGGGGATTATTACACAGTAAGTATAAATCGTCAATAAATTTTAATGAAAATTACAAAATTAAGATTCGCCAAGGATTGAAAGAAAAATTAAATAATTTATGAATAAAAAGTAATTAGAATATAAATTTCCGTTAACACATTGTAATTAGATCATTGATTGTTGTTCTTATGTAATAAAATCTAATATCTAAAATATTGGCAAAAATTGAAATTCCAATAACTTAGGTTTCTATACAAAATGTTTAATTGATTAATATTTTTCTCACTTTTTTTAGCCGGTGCCCACCGTTCGGCCAGTATCGCCTTTCAACCCTTCTGAAGATGCAGCAACTCTGCGGTCAGCCATGAAGGGGTTGGGAACTGATGAACAAACAATCATCGATATTATTACCCAAAGAACCAACAGCCAGCGCCAAGAGATTGCTAAACATTTCTCTCAAGAATATGAAAGGGTAAGTTTTGTGGATGGCATTGCAAGTACCAACAGTAAATATGTGTAGTTGCTGAGAAAATGTTTGCGAGTTCAAATAGAAGAGGGCATAACCACGAAATAAGCTCCCATTGTGTAATTGGCTCAAAGTTCCTCTGTTCTAGTTCATAATTTTGACTAATATCAGAAGAATGCCGGAGCAGTACCCTAGCAAAAAACACGCGTTTCCCGTCCTCTCCCCTCACACACACACACACACACACACACACACACACACACACACACACACACACACGTGTGTGTGTGTGTGCTTACACTTCACATGTCCGGACCAGTCGGGAATTTAGAGCTAGAGCTTGTCCCAGCTGGAACGGTGCCCCGTTGGCGGAGATACCTGATCGGGAAAATCCTACAACCCGTCGTTTAGGCTGGCGCCGGATATCACGGTCGAGCGAGAGAGTAATATCGTTACCTCCCGCGAGTAACATGCACTACACTTTAGGGAGCTACCGATCATCTCACTTGACGCTTCCGGAAACAAAATAATCAGCCAATCATAATGCTCTCAGAGCAATGGTGAAGGAAGGAATAAGAGTTATAAAAATTGGAACTACAATGGTGGTTTTAAATGGTGGCTCATTGAAAGTATATTATTTTATCTTTAGTGTATTAAAAGACAAAACTATGTTGCACTTATGCACAATGACGAAAATCATTATAAGAATGAAACAACATTCAAAGTAGAAATTATTATTATTATTATTATTATTATTATTATTATTATTATTATTATTATTATTATTATTATATTATGATGTTCTGTACACAAGGATTACCTGGTCCAATTTTTGTTTCCCCCGAGTATTAGACTCATAATAATACAATAAGTTTTTTGTTGCTCATCGGTGAAAAATAACTTCTATCAGGCAGCAAAACAAACAACTGGATCATCAAAAGAGGGCATTTGGATTCTCCCTTGACACCTACCATCTAGAACATCTCTGATCCATTTAACCTGAGATAAAGATTAAATATTTTAAGTGTAGCACTAACATCATATTTACATTCAATACTAAATAATGCATTGTGCATCCATTGCTAACATTTGATGTAATACTTTCTATTTTGTAGACCAATTTTTGATATTTAGTCACTGTTGAAACTTTCAGGATATTATTGAAGATTTGAAGAGTGAACTGGGAGGTCATTTCGAAGATGTTATTCTGGCTTTGATGGTCCCCAAAGCTGATTATTTGTGCAAAGAGCTCAATAAAGCTATGGTTGGTGCTGGAACTGATGAAAATACCCTAATTGAAATTCTCTGCAGCAAGACTAACAAGGAGATCAAAGACATGGTTGAAGCATATGAACGCTGTATGTAATTCATGATTTTTTTAATACATCTATGAATAAAAAATGGGGGGACATTTTTTCTTATGCTATAAAAATAATTTCTGTTTTGAAGTGTACTTAATGTATATTGGAATATGTATTATATATTTAAAATATTAAATTACTACAATTACAATATTTGCTTTCTTTTAGATAGGTTTAATTATGGTACTTTATGTAATTTTCTTTCTGCAATAAATTTTCAGTTCACTTCACTATGATTAAACATTTGAGAAAGAGTTGCTCCTAATTTTATAAGGTTATTCTTTTCTGTTGAAAATGTTATAGTATTTGACCGTCCCCTGGCAGAACACATGTGCAGCGAAACATCTGGAGACCTAAGACGCTTACTGACTCTCATCGTGACTGTACGTTATCACTTATGATTGTTTATATTGCTTTTCATTTTTTTATTCTAATTACTTATCCATTATATTGCACATGAATTACGTTTATGAAAAAAAGTATAAATGTAATTAAATCAGTGTTTAATAGTAGAGTAATAATTTCAAACAATTTTTTATGGAAGAGCCATTTATTTCTCTCTTGTCCTCACTCTGCTCTTGTCCTCACTATTGCTCTTCCTCTCTCCACTTTATTGCTTCCTCTCATTCACTCTTTCCTTCTTCTCTCTCACTCTGATTCCCTCTCCTCTACTCTCACTTGGCTCCTCTCTCTGCCATTGTCACTCTTCTCACCTCTCCTTCACTCTCGCTCTGCTCTGTTCTCCTCCACTCTCCCGCTGTTCCTCGGCCTGCCCCTTCACTCATGTTCTGCTTCCCTCTTCTCCATTCTTGCTCTCTTCTACTCTCTCTCTCATAATGTGTGTAATATCTTTTATTTTTGTACAGTAAAACCTGTCTAAGACAGAACCTAGGTTTATTCAAAAAATTTCCATTTCGGCAGTCTTGTAGAGGGTTGTCAAAAATTAGTACAGTATTTTCAATATCATTTTGTTAGTGAATCAAAGTAATAAAAATAAAGCATAAATTATCAATGAAAATATCACAGGAAATAAAAAAAAATCAACAGCAAAACCTGGATAATATAGGACAGGCATTTAGTCTGCATTTTAAAAATAAATATAAAATATGTACAATGTGCGAGGCTGGGATGACAAGACAGAATTCCTAGAATTCCATTGTCATCTGATGGAAACATAATAACACTTTTGAGAACTGAATCAGGTGCAGACCAACATTAAGAATTCGGAGGGTCAGCAAACATCACACCAAAGTGTGAGAATGTCGCAGCTAAACGGTCAGAGTGGGCTTAAGATTCCCCAACAGCAGGTACAAGAGGAAAAGCTTGTCATTCATTTTTCTTTTAGAACAGGAAATTTAAAAGTAAATTTCCTTCTAATAAAGGAAATAATCACTTTATGTTCTCTAAAAACCATTCTGTTTCCACAGCTTATTAAGGTGATTTTGTACAAAAATTATAAATTTGTTGTGTTCTGAGACTTTTTGTCCAGGATGGCAGGTTTCAGTCTTACCAAAGTTCTGCCTTAGACAGGTTTTACTCCATTTAGTTTTGTGTACAGGATCAAAACCCTCATATAATGAAAGTCCCTAAAATAGGTATTTAAGAAAGACTACAGGCATTATTCCCAATAAAAACACTGGTTAGAAGAATGTTTAATTTATAGGTAAAATTTGTACTATTTGTGTTCATGAAGAACTACTAATAAGTTTTCAAAATTTGATGTAGAATATCATGAACAAAATATAAAACACAATTCATTTTTTATTTAATTTCAAGCAGATAGTCTACAACAGACTTTTAATTGGAAGAATGCTATTCTAATCTTACAAGAACAAATAGGAGCTTTAATTAACAAACTTAGCTTAATTTAAGAGGGGCATGTGGTACTATTTGCATGACTCATATACAAGGGCTTATTGACTTTAATTATAGGGGGTGAGAAATGACTATTCTGTTGATGCTGGAAGGGCAAAAGAAGCTGCTGAAGAGCTTCATGCAGCAGGTATGTTTAGAGATTAACAAGATGTTAGTGGCATAAACAGTTTGAGTAGAGTTGATTGACATTAACAGGATATAGACATTTTTGTTTTTGTCTTATCTTCATCTACTTACTATTTTTAATTGACATTTGAGTATAGGTAGCAGTGTCCCTTGCTAGTAATTTAGTGAATTTGCCCCTCTATGCACAAAATATTGTTAAAAAATATTAACATTGCTATATTCTCTTGACAGTTGTGCATGAGAATATTCATGCATTTTGTTTAATTTGTGAGCTTACCCCTATTTGCACAAAATAATAGTGGAAAAAAAGAACATTGCTTTACTTTCTGAACAGTTGTGCATGAGTTTTTTGTGTTTTTTTAACTGTTTTATTATATTTTACTTTAATAAGTTACTTCCAAGATCACTCATGACTTATATTAGTGTGACTAGTACTAAACACTAATTGTATTAATTGTATCAATGAGAGCTTATGGCTTATTTGAAAGACATTTGAAATAATTTTTAAGATTGTGCTGAGGTTACTGAATTAATGAACATTACAAAAATCGAAATATCAGGAGTCATTTATTCATATTACATTTCACAAGTTCAAGTGTTCAAAAGTAAGAATTTGAAAAACATTTCTCTCCATGTTCTGATTCTTTAAGCTAATTAATTTACTTTTAATGACATCAATAAACTGTATTGCTTTGCTAAAGTACAATAACCCTTCATAAAGACTTAGTGCATGATATCTTTTGTAATCTGCATTAGAATGTACTCTATGGCTGTCTGTGACACCTCATACCTTCTTGAATGGGTGAATGAAAATTCAATTTTCTTTTGCTATCTTTGCAAATCAATTTCTTGATTTCCTTGGTTAGTCCACTTGCTTGGATTGTAACAAAAAGTGTCTGCTTCTTCAATTTCAGTAGGTTAACCTTGACCCCCTATACCAAGCACCTATAGAACGTTACATGCATCATGCATTTTTCATTAGACAATAGATATTCAACACATTGCCCAAGAGTTACAGAAGAGTTTCAATGAAATATTTGCCAAATAATTATCAAACGAATGAAATTTTAGGAGAAAAAAGCATTTTCTTTTCTTTTAAATTTTTGTCAAATTAGTGCCTTATGATTCTTACAGGAAACAAGAGATGAGAGCCATCCACCTAGTCTCGAGTATGCTAAGACTATGGCAAAAACTCTTCATGAAGCAGGCAGGTAGTTTTAATTATTGCTTTGGTGGCAATATGAAGAATGATAGTTACTTTCTCTCCATAATTTGGATCTTAAGATTTAAATAAAATATTATTTTAAATTCGTTTGCCCAATTCAAGAAGGTTAATAGGAAAACAATTTAAGAACTCATAACAATTATCTTGTAATGAGATACTTTTCTTCATAAAATAGGTTAATTATATGATCATAATTTTATCACACAGTGAAATGGCAGTTGCATTATTAATGAACAAAAACTTTATCCTCTAACTTCCATTGCAGGAGAGCTCAAAATAGGTACAGATGAAGAAGTGTTTAACAGAATCTTAGCTCATGAGAGTTTCCCACAGCTAAAACTCATTTTTGAAGCATATAAAGAAATTTCTGGCCGAACCATCGAGCAGGCTTTGCAAGATGAAATTTCAGGAGACTTACTGGAAGCAATGTTGACAATAGGTTAGTGGAAATCATTTTGATGGCAAGTGCTACCTGATTTGTTTTTGGATAATGTGAAATTCCATAAATGTTTTTATCTGATTAATATGTATTGTGTAGTTTCAAATCCTTGAACAAAAAAATATTTCAGAATAATTCTTTACCAAAAGTCAATTGGGAGCTTTATAATTTTTCCCATTGAAGTGAAATAAATATTTCATTATATGTCAGTTGTACAGCTGCTTCTTGTTAACAGATGCAATGTTTTAAAATGTTTCTTTTTTACGCTTAGTTGAAAATGTTCAGCATCCTCCAACATTCTTTGCCAAACGTTTACATGATGCTGTAGCTGGAGCAGGTACTGAAGATAAAACTCTCATCAGAATAATTGTTTGCCGAAGTGAAATTGATCTGGAAAGTATTAAAAGAGAGTATGAAAAACTTTATGACAAAACCTTGGAAAGTGTTGTTACAGTAAGTTTATTGATTTTTAAATAAAAATAAAGGGATTGAGGGAAGTGTTACATTGATTTAATCAAAATAATTTTCTTATGTTGCAGAATGAGACATCAGGTGATTACAAGCGAGCTTTGCTTGCTTTGATTGGAGGGCCGTGAATCGGATAAAATTCATCCAATTTTTAATTCAGTGTCAGTAAATGGAAGTGTAGTTCTAAAAAAAATATTTTACTTCAAGAAAAAACAACTCTCATTTATTTATATATTACTTGGTATGTCCTTTCATAATTTTAGGAAATACATTTTTTTATGAATGGTAGTGAAACTTCAATTGATAAGAGAAAAAAATATTTATAGAAGTTGTGAGGTAGTGTTACTAAATTATGTAAACTGTTTAGTTAAAAAAGGTTCACATTGTGAAATAAAATGTTACAAATTCTCAAGGATGCAAGAACAAGCAAAGCTGTGAAATATTATTTGTCTAGAGTAGTTAAGTTAATGTCACTTTTTATTTTAAAATGTTATCTTAGGTATTTGGAATTCAATACAGTTATAAATGGAAAATTATTGTTTTCTGTTCCAAATGCTATTACAGGAAAGAAAAGGTGCCTTTCACTGCTTGTCTTTGCTTGGTATTGAATGCTCATATAAACATGTACAAATGTATTATCAAGAAAAATTCAAAATATACTATATGGAAAAAGACATTGGAGTATTTTGTAGTTATAAGTTAACTCTTCTTCTCGTCAAAAAGATTATTTTCAATTAGGTTTGTATTCTGCTAAAGTGATTTCACCCTGAGATTTGAGGGAAGAGCCCTCTGCGTGCCCTTTACTTAAAAGCTCTCTCGGTTCAGTTGTAAGCATAGTGAATGAATGCAAAGATGTGATGCAATTGAATGATAGAAATGAAATAAATGTTATAGAAACATTCCTAGTATGACAAAAGTTGGTAAATCTAATGTTTTCTTTACTCAAGAGCAAAATGAAATCTATTAACTTGCTTTGCATCTGTGATACATTTTGCCTGCGTGGTACTGAGGCCCAATTGTGAATCTCGACTAGTGTCAATGTAAAAGAGGATGAGGATAAATCAAGGTTATTAAATCATGAAAATATGGAAAAAAGAAGTTTAAAATATGTCACTAAAACGTTTAGAACTCGAAAAGAAGTTTAGAAGCCATGGGTCCAGTCTTATGAGCTAAAGCAATTCAAGTATGTACCTATGTAACATACAGAAGAGATGGCGTGACGAAATTAATTATGAAAATGTTCTTAAGAGTATAAAAGTGAATAAATACACAGAGTTAAGTGAATCGAAGAGTTGAACCTTGGATTTGACCTATCGCACGTTCAATGGAAGGAAAACTCTAAAGGGAGACCAAAAGTGGAATAAGCAGATAGGGGATTGTTGAAGATAAAAAATTGTACTGCATTTGACGAATAAATGAAAAAGGGAGCACAGAAGAGGTCCGTGGCAGGCGTCTACAGAATTTGCGCACCCGATGCACCAGCTGCGGACCAGAAGAGTGCGCCGCTCGCTCCCACTTCGAGCAGTGTGGCTGACGATGGGGTCGCCAGGATGAAAAGTGATACTCTCGGGAATCTGTGCTTTGTGGAAAGAGTGCTGGCCTGTCGCGAGCGACATTCTAACGACAACAGGCTTACGGGTTAACAGAAAAGTAAATAACTCATATACTTCCTATTAGGCGAGGATGTATGACGCAATGATCCTGTTTTCATGTCCTTTTAGTATAGGTTTGTTTTACTAAAAGTTCAGAGAAAATATTAAACTTTTTATAATAAATAAAAATTAAAAAATGTTAATTTTAAGAAATTAAATTAAAAATTTAAAATCTCTCACGGCAGCCCGTCGTGAAGGTTTGCATATTCCAGAGGCTCGAAATTTACTTTTCGTTGCGTTCAGACAATAGCAAACTTTCACGGCTGTACGTTGACCCGAACATTGACATAACTTTTGCTGCTTGCTTACGAGGAACGATTATTCAGTTGATAGTAATAAGCGAACTGAGCCGGCTGCTTAAAGTGATAGCAAACAGAGGCCTTCCGACGAATCAGCAGATCTCACACAGACACTGCTTGCGCCGCCGGTCCGCAGTTGGCTCGCCGGCGCCGTGACCCCGGAATGACGAGGCCTGGTCCAAACGAAAGCTCACGATTCTCAGCGACTCACCTTTTTAGACTACTTTCGTACTACCATCACTATTCTCACTTTCTTTTACCAAATTAAATTATTCATTTAAATTTTCTAAAAACAATATTTTAAAAGAATTAATTAATTTTTTTATTTTATAATCGCGAAAGTGTGATTATTATTTAAATGTAAGGCGGAACATTTAGAAAACCGTCAACACAATTTGAAACTAGTGGGGAATCTTAAACGTAAACGATTGGTCCAAACGAAAGCTCAGGATTCTCAGCGACTCACCTTTTTAGACTATTTTCGTACTACTCTCACTATTCTCACTTTCTTTTACCAAATTAAATTATTCATTTAAATTTTCTAAAAACAATATTTAAAAAAAAATATTTTTTTAAAATTTTATAATCGGGTAAGTGTTATTATTTAAATGTAAGGAGGAACATTGAGAAAACCGTCAACACAATTTGTAACTAGTGGAGGTAAAATGAATTATGTCCAACAGAGTTCCAAAAAGCTCCAAATATTGAACATAAATGAAAGCATATGTTACAATCAGAGGTTATGATATAGTACATACGCTGTTTATTGGACATCGACATAGCTATCGACGCCTCCTAAAATAGACGAGCCACAGTTTATGATTGTCCATAGGTAGAAGCGGTAAGAAAAATCGGATAGAAAACGCGTTAAACTTTTTGAGATACACAGCCCTGATTGAGGCATTTTGTATGCAAAGTTAAACACTATTAGTTTTAATTTCACGGGTGGAATAGTAAAAAATAGATCTTAAGATAAAGTTATGTTGAAGTTGTTGAAAATATGAGTTATTTTTTGTGTGTAATTTGGCGACAAATATAATCGCCTGCTCCGAAATTACTGCGCTTTGTGGACGTAATTCCAAGCAGTTGGATGCTTCGTAAGTTATAACTTGTATATTATTTCATATTTATTTGTTTTTTGCATTGGACCTTTTGTAATACTTTTACATCTTAATATTTTAGAACCTATTTAGTGTATATTTGAAATATATGCAATAAAAATTGTTAGTCTTCAGGGAATATCAGATTGGAGTGCATTCCGCGCTGCGAATTGGTAGCAGAATTTCTGTGAATTACGTCTCATTGTTGGGGCATGATGTAGCTGTATGAAAAGCAGTAATAATTGTCAAATTTGTGTTGATATTTGCTTGAAAATATTTAGTTTTTTCACCAAATGTTTTACGATTTGTAATCAGTTTCACAAAAAAAAAAAATGATGACTAATATGTGTTGATTCAGAGAGAAATTGTGGTATAAATAGTATTGCATAACTATTACAAAGGTGAGAAAGTACGTGCTGTTTTAACACTAGTTTTTTAAATAAAAGTTTGTAATTTTGAGACCCTTTTGTTATTGTTTGGGTTTGATGTTAAGCACGTTAAACTCCACATATTTATAAAATCTATTTTGTTCAGTAATTAATATTATTTCTTAAAGCTTACATTTTTCCCTATTCACTATTTACTCACTATTTTTGGCCGATGTAACACACTATTTGACTATTTTTAACTTCATCGAACGCTGAGAGATCTGAAAGCTGCAAGAAAACTAGCGACTTCCAACTGCAGATTGACTGGAAATGAAAACGGAAGATCTCAAAGTGTCGAAAGGGTAACAGCAACAACTTAGAGGTGCCTACGAGGTTCGAAGAACGGCTGCTCTGATCGGTGATTTCTGTGTGATTTCCCTGATCACTTCCTGCTGAAATTCGAAGCAGAATCAGATAAACAACGGGCCATGGACTGCCCACGATATTCCTTTCCTTAACATCCACCTCTCCCACTCACAACTCAGAGGCCAGGAGGAGTACGAACGTATACGTTCTATTATTTAAAAGCAAAATTTATTGAAAATATATTCAATTTAGTTCGTAATTAGTATTATAACATAGATTGAGTTAACTTTTTAAAGGAACATTCGAAACCTAAGTTGGTTTAAACATACACAAATGAGAAAATATTGTGAAGATAGAAAAAAGATGAAAATGAGATGAGAAGATACAAAAAAATTAGGATGTCCTTAAAGATCCTTTTGAATCTCGAGGAGAAAATTTACTACCTATCTTTTATTACAAATTTCATACAAAATTACAGTTTGCTTTTCTAAAATAGAACATAAATGTATTAAAATAGGATTGATATAAACAACTAAAAGTCTCAAAAACCAATGGAAAGCAAAATGCTTATTTGTCTCTAAAATAAAACAACAACAAAACTAGTGTTGTTTCAATTTCGAACACCAAGAATAGAAATGAAATCATACTTTAAAGGTGGTAATGGTTTACTTTTTTACAATGCATTTGTAATATAATTCAGTATTGAATCTGGTTAGATAGTAATTTGCATTTTCTTGTGAAAAATATTGTTATAAAACTTTTTTGTTACGTTTTACACAAGAAAGAGAGAGAGTCCAACAGCAGTTTTTGTTGCGCTGCAAATACCGTTTTTGTGATAAAATAATTTGTTTGAATATTATATTCGCGTTCAAGTATTTGGACTTTTTGTTATCTTCATTAATTATTTAATTGTTGTTACTGAAGTTGAATTCGATTCATTTCCAATTTTTAACTTAACACGCAATACAATCTAGGTCTGAACATCATTGACAGATACAATTTATAAACTTATTCGTCGTTATTTAAAAACGAAGGAAGTTATAATGCGGATATACTCTTACCATTCATTGAAGATTAATATGTGATTCATTGCATAGAACTTATTCTTTCCCCAGCCAACGCGAAGAAATTTGTTAAATAATTCTGGTTTCTTTTTTGTTCTATTAAAGAGGCAGAGGTGTTCCAAAGATAAAGCAAGAATCTATTGACATTCATGAATGCAAAAAAAAACAAACTTTCGAAGCCGGTCTGTCAATAAAGGATCGTAGACATCTATTTGACTACTGATTTATTTTTTACATAACGAAGGTGACAATAAATTCGTAGATGAGTGATTCGTAAAAAAAGCAGATGACGCCCACCAAACAGATTGATATCTTCCGTGTACAATTTGAAAGTCGCTTAGTCCGATCTGAGATACGGTGTTGCTGTGACAGCTCGCAGAGCAAACACGTAGCGCGCGAGTCGAGCTTTTAACAAGACATCCTCTTGAAGATTCTTGTCAACAGATCGATGAGGACCGTCTGGCGCAAGGACCGCGCGGCTTTTCCCTCGCATCCGCGGAATCGCAGGCGGCTGGCCTTCAAATGCCATCGCAGAAGCCGGCACGCATTGAAGAAGCTGGGTAAATCAAATGATTTCGTACTACGTACTCGAGCGCTGGCATTTTCCCCCCTAACAGAAATAATATTTTTATGTGCATAAACAAGTTCCTTTGTTACAGTATCATGGATCTGGTATACTCCAACGGTTCTCTTTTTCGGAGCATGGACAAAATAATTCACCATACATATGAAATGGAATTAATAGCACAAAATGCAGGAGTAGCGAACCTGCAACTGGCCCTTCTTCCTTTAAAATTTATTTGATATTTCTCTTTGAATTAAACATTTATTGTATTCATGAATATGAAAGATAGTGAACGTTGTTTGCACTGTGTTGTGAAATGATTTTCATATTGCATTGTGGGTGTACATAATATGGCATACACTACATGACACTGTGGTTGATTCTTAGATGAATGTGTTTCACTTATTGAACTGAAAATAGAGGATGGAATTATTAGCTCTACAGAAGGAGATAGAAGTGGTGCTAAAACAGCACGTATTTTCTCACAATATTACGCGAAAAGTACTAAAATGTTCGAAAAAATGTACACGACCTTCTTTCGAATTCTATCTTCAAGGAACAGATTTCATTAAGGAAAAAAAATCTACTTTATTTAATATTTTAGCTGTAGGAAGACTTCGATAAAGTGTTGAACTTGCGCAATTATTGAAAAATCAGAGTTTTTAACGAACGTGAGACCTGCACCATTCTCTTAAACGTCCTTTATACTAACCAACAACAATTTAATCAAAAACGATGGAGCCATTGTTTCGGAAATTTTGAAAATGTCCCAAGGGCTTAATGTAAAGTACCCTGCAAATTTAAAATATTGGTTTGAAATTCAAGGGACTGCAACATCCGCCAGATCGATTCGGGAATATCAAGTTTGGAGAAAATCGGCCGAACGGTTTAGTCGCTGGCGTTGTTCACAGACGGACAGATGGACACACAGACGTTTCGCCGTCATTCGATTTTTCGGAATCAAGGATCCACGAAACATGGAGTCTAGCTACACCATGTGATAGAGGATTTTCTCCTAAATTTAGCAACTAGATTTATCCACATTTTCGTTACCAGGGGCCTGTAATAAGAGTTTTTCTTCCAAAAATTCGTCATTTTTTCGCACAGCATTATAACTCTATCTACTCCTTAGCGAGAAACTAAAAAGCGGAGGCGCCGTACAAGTTATGTACATTTTGAAAATTAACGAATATTTTACTAATATTCTGTTTGTATAAAAATGTTTAGTTTGTTTACGATAAACAAATCGAATTAAATTATATATGAAATCTAAAGTTGATGGTGTGCAGATTTTTTGTATTACGGAACTCGCACTTCAAGGACCTCATGAAATAGTTATGAATTTCACAGTAAAGAAAAAATGTAAATTAAACCAATTGATAAAGTTAATCTCTATAGAAGGGTTTTGTTGTAGAAATAGTAGCTAAATAGGAGGAAGATGAAAACTTGTTGTATTTGTGAAACGTGAAAGCTTGGTTCAATAGGCGAAAATAGACACCCCAACATAATAGTGAATAAAAGCAGATGAAATCATTACATTCATTGCACGGTTTACTCTTTTAATAAAAATTAAGTCTTCTAATTTTAATTCACGTCGTGTTAAAATATAAACTTCAGCAACAACAAGAACAAACATAATAATACCTGAAATTATGCTTCTTCAACGATCTCACAATTTATCACATTTTCTGCATGTATACTAATAATATGTTTTATTTTAGCAATTACAAAATTATGTTTTAGCAATAACAAAGAAATTATATACGTTACCTGTATTATCTTATTTATGTAATTTGCTGCCCATTTGCAGTTCAAATAATTTATCTTTATCTTAAAAATACTGACGAATCTTATCATAGTATCTTAGTTTAAAATCTCGAAGAGAGACGTGGTACCCGTGACATCAGCATCCGCAACAATTCGTGTTTCCCACAACAATAAATTCAATCGGTGCGGCGCTTCAAAGGGCAGCCGTTAGAGCGCAGCAGGGTCGCGCGTCCCAGCGGCGCCTGGCGCCTCCTCCCGCAGATGTGACGTAGGCGTTCTCGCAATTCGACTCCCTCGCACCGCCATCGTCGTTTATTTCTGTTTGCGGTGCTTTTCGCGCGGTAAAAACCCCATCGCGGCGACCCGCACGCACTCCGGAGTATTGTTGCTCCCTAGAGGCAGCCTTCCGAAAATAGGTAAGTTCCAAAGTCACAGAATTTGAGATGAAAGGTGGTGCGTGTTTAAGGGATGTGCTGTGTAGGTTACCTGGAAATATATCATCTTCAATTCTTTTGATGTTCATTATACGCGTGTTTCCACAGTGAATTAAATGCACGATGACATTTTAGAAACAGCATCTTACATTTAAAAAAATTGTTTAAAAATAAACGAGATATCAATATTGATTAAAAATGCTTTACTAATACTTTTTACATTGAATTAATGACTTTTTTTAAAATCTTGAATCATTACTCGAATTTCTCACAACTGATACGCAAGGTCGTTAAGCAAGGTCGTTGTGTTTCTGAGAAATGCTTTATGACCCAACGTCACAAGACTGTCATCGACTAGAATTACAATTCAAAATCGATTGAATGTAGAAATATTTGATGCGAATATACCTCGATGAAACCTCGCTCTAACTCGGGCCGTGGGCTGGGTGTGGTCTTTTTCGTCACGAAGGTTGCCCTTCGCAGCTCTAATGAACGAGCCGTCACGCCCAGGGGGTTCCCTTTGAAAGCACGCCATCACTCTTACGTAGATTCCATCACGAAGGGTTTTGTACTCCAGGGATCAGCCCGAAAAAGTATTTAATACGGTTGTTCCTTTTTAAATTACACCAAAATTCACAGAACACGTCCTAGTTTCCCTTTGATCAAACAATGAAAATAGGTAATTAACTTAAAGTTAATTATTGCATGTTAAACTTAAGATCTTTAAAAACGCCATTCACAAAACTATCTGAAACATTTTCCAACTGAACTAATTTAATAAGTATTTATAGAGACGTAATCGAAATTTCCCGCTTTTCTTCTGAAGTATGACAACTTCCTGTCCCTATCGGTTATTCTCTGGACAATGAAAAGGATGCGCGCCAATCATAGTATGAGAACAGGAGGCTTCCGTGATAAGGAGATTTGAATGCCTCTTTTAAGTATTCTCTTCTCGGCAAAATTGCGAGGCACCCAGAGTAAAACACAATTTTCACCCTCCAAATCTATAGAAAAAAGTGTAGACTATTGTAAGTTACAGAGTCTAGTTGTTTAAAGGTCTCATATAGCGGAGAACAAAGTAAGTAGTGAAAATATTCCGCAGTTGTCTGAAGCTCACTCAACTGGTGATATTTCAAGTCCGAAGTAGATTAAGCAAATTTTTTTAAATTAATACAACGTGAGAGTATGCAAGTAATGTATCTGCAATCGAATTTATTGTAAATACAATTTTTAACTTTTAAATATGGAATATCAAAGAATTATTTTTATTTACAAAAAACTAGTCAATAGTCAGCTGAACGGAATCTATTTCAAGCTATCCAATGTTCGTCTACAGATGGCGTTGAAAGCGGCACGCAATATTTCAGTAGCGAAACGGATGAAATCTGGGTCACGGGTAGCGCGCAAAATGCCTTGCCGTACTCCCGTCTCGGGTCGATCACCATTGTGGGCCGTTCCTTACCTGCTGGTAGGCGTCACGCAAGGATTTATGATTTGCGGCTTGCACAGTGCCCGCCGGTCTTTGTGGTTCCTCAGTCGTGTGGTGGAGAAAATCAATGGGCGTCTCCATTCACCATTTTTCATTCCCCTTAAACGTCTTCCGAATCGTAAATCAACTTCGACGTATTTAAATCACGAGAATAGAAGGAAATGCGAAAAGGACTTGCGTTAAGAACTGTTCACTATTTGCTTAAATGGTCAAAACAAGAATCAAGAGCTAACGACAGCCCAGTTTCAAAACTCAAGAACTCAAAATTCTAAGTTTTGGGATACTGACGTTTTAAAGTTTAATATAGCTCTAAAAATGTCAAATTTAAAATGTATAGTATAACAGTCAAATTAGTAGTAAACTGTCATATCTCCATAATAATTGTTTATTACAAAATTAGTAGTAAACTGTCATGTCTCCAGAAATTCTAGCTTCATACAATCCAATAATGTGTTACGTGTCTCATTTTCCCTTCCACCATAAGTGCTACTCTTGTAATGTTGCCAAAACAGTTCTGTAATAAGTTTTGTGATAAGAATAGAAATATTCTTAAATTAACATTTTAAAATGAACGACATCAATTGATGTTTGAAAACGCAATTACCAAAAAATGGAGAAAATTGTATTGACATACAGAGGTCAATTTTGGATCCGTAGCTGAACGAAAATAACGGTGTTCAATAAAAACGAATATTTGGTGTAAAATCGATGTAATTAAAACCTACACGTTCTTTTTTGCTCTTTTATTTTATATTTGCACAGTGTATTGCATTCAATGGACTAAAACTGGCACGTAGAAACATGTTACGGATTTGCGATATTATTATTATTATTATTATTATTATTATTATTATTATTATTATTATTATTATTATTATTATTATCGCTTAGTAGAAGTTGCAACAACTTACTGAATGACACTGCACATAAGGCAGATAAAAATCCTGAAGACATCGGACTCTAATAGTCGTCTAAACAGTTTTCAGAAGTAATTAAAATGAAAAATATAGATTGTAAACACATTTCAGAGTTCATTTTCTGAGTTTACAGGCAATCCACTCAGCCTTGCCCAAAAGTTCCTGTTTTACAGCTCATATCGTTAACGAATCATTATAAAAAATAAGCCAGGTGCCTCCACACGCCAACTAGTCGTTTCTCAGTCGCCTTTGATTTCGAAAATGGCAGTCACCTTCACATAACTTGCTTCATTTGTTTTTCACTCGGAAGACTTTCGTGTATGCTCCGCTCGCAATATGTGGCGCTATATGTCTCGCCGCGTTGGCGTTTTCAGAGAACAGACCGACCAATTGTGCTGCATTTACAAAACGTTTATGCACCATGGGGCATAAAACACCACTCCTATAAAGTCACATTTAGATGTTTAATTTCTTTGGCATAAACACGAAAATATTCAGTACCATCAAAAGGACCACTAAGCGAACTCAAAGAGAAAATTGTGGAAATCCATAGAACAGAATGTGTTACAAATAATTATGGTGACATCCCGGAACGTTCGAAAAACGTGTTCGTGAAAAGGAAAAGTCAATAGAGATAGCAAAAGTAGACGACTACCTTGCGAGATTTTCTAGTTTTTTTGTTACTTTACGACGATGCAACTTACTGAAGGAAATATGACCATTCACTAACAGCTACTTTTAATGTAATTAAAAGAATTGCCGTAAATTGATTAAGTAATAATACGATAAAATGCAGCATTAGAAAAATACAGACATTACTGCACGTTGCGACAAAGCGTTTATTTGAACCTGCATACTTCTTATATATCGCGCAATGTAGGTAAGGTATGTAGTACACATGCCTTCAGTGATTCATTCAATACTACAGGAAGTTCAATAAACAAATATGATTGCAATAGCGCGAAAAGATAACCTTATAAAAATATTTTCTACATTTCTAAGTTTTCTACGGCAATGTAACTTACTGAAGGAAGTAAGATCGTTTACATTCACTTACAGTCCCTTTTAACAGAGAAGAACTGCAGTTAATTGATTATTAATATGGTAAATATGATACATTAGATTGAGGCGTTATTGCACATTGCGGCAAAGCATTTATGTGAGTCTGCAAACTTCATTTGCTTTGCGCCGTGTAGGGAAGATATGTACGCATAACACAGTGCATTCCTTCAGTGATTCATTCAATACTACACGAAGTTCAATGAACAAACACGAATGCTATATCAAGAATAGATGGCCTTCTTAATTGAATATTTTCTACTTATTTTTAGTTTTCTACGGCGATGCAACATACTGAAGGAAATGAGATCGTTTACATTCACTTACAGTTGCATTTATTATAAAATTACAGTTAATTGGTTATTAATAAGATATATGTGCTACATTAGATAGAGGCAGTATTGCAGATTGCGACAAAGTTTTTATGTGAGCCTGCATACTTCATTTACTTTGCGCCGAGTAGGGAAGTGTTCGCTTAATACAGCGCATACCTTCACTGCTTCATCAATACTACAGGAAGTCCAGTGAACAAACACAATTGCAAGAATAGATGGCCTTCTTATTTAAATATTTTCTACATCTTTTTAGTTTTCTACGGCGATGTAACGTACTGAAGGAAATAAAATTGTTTACATTCACTTACAGCCGCATTTAAAATAAAATTGCAGTTCATTGATTATTAATAAGATATATATGTGTATATATATGATAGAGACAGTATTGCACATTGCGGGACAGCATTTATACAGCCTGAATACTTTATTTACTTTGCGCCGAGGAGGGGGAAGATAGTTCGCGTAACGCAGTGCATTCCTACACTGATTCATCCAATACTACAGGAAGTCCAATGAACAAACACGCTTGCACTTTTTCCCTGGCACCGTTTCTCACCGAAGCGAGAAGGCCGATGCCCTACAGCGGCCACGGCGGCCTCGACGATAAGGCGCGCAAACGCGAAGGAAGTCAGTTCGGTAGCGGAGCTCTGAGGTTCCGGACGCATCGTCACCCAGCGGTCACCCGTTTCCTGTGCAACACGCGGCGCGACGCGGCGCGTACGCAGCCTGGTTGTCCTTTGCCGTCCGATCGAGAAGAAGCGTTTCCTGCGGTATGTTTAACCCTGCAATACAGCGTCGCTCTTCCGGAAAATTGATGTATAGGGTGGTGTAGCGTCGTGCCACGCTCAAACCGCCGGATGTTGAACGAAGGGCGGAGTGATGACGCACTGGGACTTTCCGTGGACGTACTGGGCTCAGAGCGGCTTTGGGGAGGAGGCAATGGGGGCGGCGGGTAGAGTCCAAATGGCCTATATAAGACAATGCCCCAGTCTTCTTGTGCAAGCAGCGTCGGCGACAGGCGATGCGCGTGTCTGAGCGTGTAGGTGCTCTAGGGCGAGGGGCCGGCAATTCATTGTCCTAACTAGCGAGACGCGTAGATGGTCTCAAAGTAGAGCGGCTTTATACAGGGAACATCGGTGGTATGTTGCGGTGTGGTAGCCGTTCTTAAATTATCTCTCCTTGTAGTGGGTCTATTTATTTAACTGTGAGCAGGGTAGTTGTTAAATTGAGACTACGGTCTAGATTGTTAATAAATCTACTGTTTTACAAACCACTCTCGTCTGTGTTCGATTACACCCGTATGACGCCATAGTGGGTTAGAACACAAAAATGAAAATATTTCCCAGTAATTATTGTATACTGTATGTACCTTTGGAGAAATTTAATGTAGTAAAATTGCTTACTAATTTTGTGACTATTGAACTAAAGTTACATAACGAAATAAACACGTGTATAATCGCATTCTTTCCATCAAAAACATATTTATATAAAGTATTAAACAAGATTTGTCAAGCAAATACTGTGACTGAAGTAAGTATAAATAATCAACTTACCAAATGTATAGACTTACGAGTGGGAATAAGGAAAGTATACCCTGAGTGCCATATAATTTGAAGACATTATCACAGATTTGCTAGTGATAAAACAGAGACAAGTAATAATAATAATAATAATAATAGTAATAATAATAATAATAATAATATTAATAATAATAATAGGGAAACAGAAAATAAAGAGCTTATGGTTTTAAGATGATCTCAGCTTTAAAATGCAAAACCTTCAAATAATGAAATTAATGTTTCAGGAAAAATTAAGATGTTGAGGTAAAACGGCTAAAAAAACGTACATGAGTTAAGTCTTATCTGTCATTATGCCAATTGTCGCTTGCTTCCAGATGAATTATTTTATCGACAAAGTTCGCCGTTTATTTTTTATAGAATAATGTGAAAACATTGAATCTTCATTTTCATTGACACTCCATTTCCATAAATTAAAAAAATCCAGAGACAAAATTTTTAAGTAACTTGAATATTGTCGATTAATGGCGAGCAAATGAAGTTGCTGGAAAATTAAATCTCGCTCTCCTCTACAAAAAATAACTTTTGTGTTAAAACAGTATTCTATAAAAGCGATGTTACACGACACTTTGTGGTGCTACGACATAGCACAGACTTTCTCAGAGTATTTGTAACTTTTATGTTAAATTATGACCATTCTATTTTAATATACCATTATTAAAAGCTATAAATATTTCAACAATTTCAAAACTGTCTACATCGTATTGATTGTAACAGCGCACAAAGTCAAATCTCATGATTTGAGGCATACTTCCTGTCACCCACCTCATATCCGAATTTTATTCAGTTTTATGGATAATATTTTGTTAATCGAACCCAATTTGTACATGAGTGGCGTTAATGATTTTTTGGTGAGGTAACAATGCTCCAAATCTCCAAATGTAAATATATTAGCCATCACATTCATAAATAAACATTTTCCTTAAAATCCACAAAGTACATGGGGATAGTAGAACACAATATTTAGAGAACATTTGAATGAAGATGTGGTTTAGTTTTTCGTTACTCTGATAGTATTCATATCAAAGATATTGATTTTTAACAAAAAAAATCTACATTTTGTTTCCTATATTACGAAATCGAAATAATGAAAATATTTGTTATTGTCTGGCCCATTAGTTCTCGCGAACATCATGGCTGCATTGTTTCTGACACTATTTAAACAGTGGCGCCAGACGCACTATCACGCGGACTTATAGTGGATTCCCTACACCACTATTGTTCTCATCTGTTTCTGCCATCGGTCAACTTTGTCCTAAGAATAGTACGAGTATAATAATGCCATTTTGGAACCCGGAGGATACATATTTTATTTCCATTCTTATATTTTTTATTAAAAAACTTCATTTGACAATTTGAACTTTTAAATTATTGTAAATATATTATATTAAAATAATATAAATATCTAAGATTTATGTTAGTTCTTGCTTTATTTACATGAGCTCTTAAAACTTAAAAATATTTAAGAATTAATGTTACAATTTTTAGTATTTTAGTATTATTTATTCTTACTTCAATTACAGCATTTGCTTGACTAACCTTGTTTAATAATTAATATAAATATGTATTTGATTGCAAAATGGGAATATATATGCGTTTTTTTAGTTATATAACTTATGTTCAATAGTCACAAAATTAGTAAGTAATTTTACAATATTCAATTTCTGCAAAGGCACATACAGTAAACAAGAAGTACTGGGATATCTTTTAATTTTGTGTTCTAACTCACCCTACACATCTAGCAAATCGCATACATGAATGGAAACTTTTTTTTTTGTAAGATTACATATTTACACTGACAGAACTGACACTGATCAGACATACAGCAACCATCAAGATTATATTGCGGTTTTCTTTCACGTTGAAAACTAATAAGGTTCTTGAGTTTCGGTTATAGTGATATTTCTAATCCGTATTGCTGACGTTTCGACATCTCAAGGCAATATTTTTAATTCGTTGGTATCAAATTTCTTTAGTTCCTATTCCAAATGACGACAGCTAACACAATTGCCGTCGTGTTCGTTCTATTGAACGCGAAACGAGGGAGGAGATTACGTTTAATAGTTAGAATAGTTAGTAGGTTTGAACAGCAACTCCTATAAAACTGGAATACCCAATCGTGCTTCCTGATTGTACCTTCTCCAACATTCTTACTTCTCGATCAAACGAGTTCAGAGAAGAGCGGCGGCAAAGTTACTTTATGAGCCGTAAATGATCCACTGGGTAAGGTAAGGGTCTCTCGTCGCAACGTGACTGTAATTTATCGGAACTTTCCATTACCTGATGGGTATCTTTGCCTGCTCAAGTATCCCCCTCCACTCTTTCCTCTTTAGCTCATCTCTTCCAATTCTTAACCTTCAGTGTTTTTAGTTCCTCCTACCAACAGTGTAGTAGTGACTTCCTGGAGTGTAATAGTGCCAAATATCAAGCGGTTATCTCGTATTCTTTTAACTCGCGTATTTTGTTTTATTTTGCTATCCAACTTATTTCTATACTGAGCTTTGAAAGCAAATAGTATTTTTTAACAGAAATAGTTAGCTGGTCAACTCCCAACCACCATTTCTTGGGGGACCAGGATTTGTGAAGGGAGGGTTGTCCCAACATTCCCGTTGGAGGGGTTGTCTTCACCTTGACTATGGGGTTCCACCTACCCTTTGGTTTTCTGTAAGTTTTCCTTCCCTTGGCCTTTAGGGATCCCGCCCCTCCCTGCAAGGTAGCAGGTATTTGTGTTGGGTTTACTCCCCTAGGGAGAGTAGCTTCGCTGCGCCATGCAGAGCTCTCTCTACCCACAGTTTTCGTCAGGATTTTTCTTGCCTTATCCCAATGCTACGGATTTCAAGTGCACATAAAGTAACTCCAAAATACCCTCTAAATAAATAGTGCAAAATAATATTTTCACAAAACGAAAATTATATTATTTTATCTTTCCGTATATGTAAAAGTAATTCAACCCCCTAAACTTTATACCTGTATCTTCCATATTTCTTTTAGCGTCATATGTTCTACTACCCTAATGTTTTCTATCCTAATGCGGCTGGATCGACTGCGTTGAACTCTCAAAACTGGAACATATCCTTGTCTGAAACAACTACATACCTCTTTTGTTCAATAAGAAACGAAACTCCTAGTAATTAGATGGGGACACTGGCCACTTTGCGCCGGGTCATACATTCTTTATCTTTCCACCTTTCACTCAAGAATCAAATGGTTTTTCTGTTCCTAATCTTCCCGCTGCAGCAACTCGCTGAACAGTAGAAATAGCTCATGGGTCGCCACTAGGTAAGAAATTCTTACGTTGCAAAATTTACGCGCAGTGAAGTGGTTTTTCCACCTATTAAGATTTGCAAACAAATCCATGATAATTGTAGAGATTTCTAATCAGAAGGATTCTAGAAAAATAACAGTGCGTAAGTATGCATATTTTTCTAAGGAAATGATTTCACCAAATTTTAAATAACTCTTGATAAATCAAAATATTTTATTTAATAGATATTTTCAAAGGCAATATAAAAATATTTACTCAGTAAGGAATAAACTTGTATAACAGGTATAATAGTTTCCCAGTATATTGTATCTACTGTTTGCCTATTGATTTTCAAAACTTTGTACCAATTGTCTACATCATGGGACAAATTTTGTGTAACTGCATTAATTTAGACAGGCGAAATTTGGGCAGCCGAGGCAATGAAAAACCAAAATTGGATGACCGCAAATTACATTCACAGGACTAGCAACACATGGCTTCCACCGTATGATGCAAACAAAACGATTCCACAAACCGACCGACAAGTGTCTGTAAACTCTGTTACCAGATCTGCGAACGATACCACATTGAATCAACCAGCTCGCCCAGGAGCGTTGGAAAACTGGAATCATAGCCCATACCTAAGCAAATTACATACAAAGAAAATGCACATCTATGCGCGCTTCAGAAAATAATAATTGCGCTTATGGCAACGCTGCGAATTCGTGCTTTGTTTCTTAAGACTTCCCCTTGCTTTGCAAAACTTGTGGTCATGCTTTTATTCACGAATTCCATATGCGGCACAAACTGAAGAATGACTGAAAACGCCAATCTGTCTTCTGACGTCACACTCTTGAACTTTTTTCGCACTTTCGAACTTTTTAACGGTGGATTATGGACGGATGATCTTTTGTTTTCGGGACCGATGAGGTGCTTTCTGACGTATTGACGGCCAAAAATATCTTCAATTTTCAATATTTATCACTGGGAGATTTACTACCGCTAAATACTCTATTGCCGCATGACATAGTTTTGTTAAAAGCAGGAGAGCCGAGAGTAAACAAGAGACCTAGGATCGTAAATCCGTGGAAACACCATATTTCAAACAAGATTGATGGATTGATGATTCCGGGCTGCTACGTTTATTCGTCCCGCAAGTGTAGTGCATGTTTTATCGTGGGGGGGTAGCCGAGAGTAAATAACAGACCTAGGGTCGTAAATCCATGGAAACACCATATTTCAAACAATATTGATTGATTGATGATTCTGGGCTGAAAAGGTTATTCGTCCCGCAAGTGTAGTGCATGTTTTTATCGTGGGGGGGGGGGGAATGGTGGTGGTAATGATGTTGCCGCCGCCTTACGTGAAAGTAGGGATAAGCGCAAGTTAAAGAGGGGATGGAAGATGGCTGCCACCTAGCTGTACCCAGAATGTTTTGCAGTTTTCATATTTTCCGACCGTGTTGTGAACATTTATGAGTTATCCACGTTGCTTGGGTAGTAAGTGTTTTCAGTTTTATTTATTTGATATTATTTGTTTGTTTTTTTTCCACTAAATTCACTGTATTTCTTGTTACTCAACTGATGTTAATGTTTCAACTTTATTTCTCCTTCTTGCTAGAGACCCACTGAGGATGGGAAAAGTGTTCCCCCAAAGTTAACACCGGGTAATAATTAATAAAATTATTAAAGTTTTTGTTGGCGAGTATTTCCTTTATTTTTCATATTATGAAGGAAAGTTCGCGCGCGGCCCGTTGCCCGTTTGTTAGGGTACTACACTGACATTCGCCCGATGTTGATCGGTGAAACCACGGAATACTATCGATCAGAGCAGCCGGCCGACAGAATTCCCCTTCAGTCAGCTGCTGTTTTCGACCGATCTTCGTAGCTAGTGACGAAAAGCATGCCACTGACGAGACGCGAACTCTAGAACCTCCCAGTCACAGGCACTGTAGAGACATCAACTGATGCCCTTAGCCGGTTTCAAATAAGGCTTCTGCCTCAATGTATAAACATAATTAGAATATCCACGTAAGAGAAATACATTATTGTGGTTCATTTGAATACACTTTTTATATGTTTTGAAATTAAAAAAATGTTTTGTGCGCATTTAAGTTGGGGCCTGCAGCAAGTTATCCCTGCCCCCTCTCCCATCAGGGCGCCGCTGGTTAAAAAGCCTCGTTTTTAGCTTTGCTAAATACTCGGGTCACTTTGAAAATAAAGTGTCAAGGAGCAATATCTCTCCATGGCGGTGATGAGAGACGCGCCAGTGAAGCAGGAAATGTAATTGAGTAGGCAGTGTTATCGCTGGAACCCAGAGCTATATCGACAAAAACACAAACAATTACGAAGTATTACTTTTCAGAATTTATTTCCTTTTCCACACGCCACGAGACACATTTAGCGCCGGGCGTTCCCTGTTTGTCTTTGCTGATTGATTGATTGATTGAATTTGCCTTATTTTACGTGGCGAGACTCGGACCATCAGACCCGCTCTTCCGTCTGACCACGCAAATTTCCCTACGCTCCTTTCACCAACAAGGAGAGAAAGGAGGTATTACTTGGGCGATTTGAAACAGGCGATTTGAATTTAGCTCAGAGGCGTCATTTAGGCTTGAGGATCTTTTACATGCAAGTAAATCTACGAACATGGGACAGCCGGCTTTACTTCCTCTCCGAAGGAAGGCGTACGAAGGATTTTTTCGCCCTTAAAAATCCACGGCTTCGATCGGGTTTGAACCCGGTACAACAGTCCAGTACGCTAACCGTTACACCACCGCCGCCGCTTTCGGGATATCCCACGCTTATCCGATATTTTCTGAATCATTGGGGTGGGCCATACGAGGATGAGTGATTGTCCCATCATTCGGCCCTGAAGAGAATGCAGGGGGGAAAAGGAGCATCCTCTAGTCCATTGCTCAGAATCTACTGCACTGCGGGTTGCCTAATAAAACAATTGCCAGGCGACAGCAATCCGCGGTGCTCAACTAATATTATTAATTGATATTTTTATGGAATGTGACAGTAAAAGATAAACCAAATTATTGACAAATTTAAAAAAAGATGCACACCACCCTCGCAACGACTGTCAATGAAATATATTATATTATGTATATATATTTTAAATGTCCATATATTTAATAATTTTGGATCTTTGTTATTATATATGGCTCATGTTATTTTTGTTACAGAATTTTCCAAGTCAAGTGTAAATTTCAGTAAAACCTGAAAATTATCCACACATCATGGGTGACTATTACACAGTAAGTAGGTCATTACTCTCAAAATACATTATATTCTAATAGAGACAGATTTTAGTAATTTTTTTTTCATTATTTTATTTCTTCTCTTTCTCTCGTGAATATTAGTAGTGTCAATTGTCCCTGATTTCAGCCTGTTCCGACTGTTGTCCCAGCATCACCTTTCAGTGCATCTGAAGATGCTGAAGCTTTGAAAGGATCAATGAAAGGTCTAGGTACTGATGAAGAGGTAATAATAGGTATTTTGACTCAACGTACAAACGCCCAGCGTCAAGAAATAGCGAATGTTTACGCTGAAGAATATGGAAGCGTAAGTTTCTTTTAACAAAAACAATTTTTTCAACAAAATGCTGCAGTATATCCGTTTTTCTATTAAATAATTTTGTATACACTACTTTATCTGTTTTATAAGTTCTTTATGAAGTAGGCCTACATTATTTCCAAACTGGGTACACAAATTATCTAATGTTGTTGATAATTAAAGTCAGTAACATCACAGATCTATACTGGAGTAAATTTCAATTACTTCATTGCACATTTTAAACTGGACAAATTTTCATATTGTTCAGACAAAATACATAAACATCATTATTTGTTTGTTTTTTCCTTAAAATTCAATAGAATAATATATTTTGTCATTTGACAAAGTAATATTAAACGAATTTTTTTTCATCACTAGGACATTATTGAAGATTTGAAGGGGGAGTTGGGAGGACATTTTGAAGATGTAATTGTTGCTCTAATGAGACCCCCAGCAGATTATTTGTGCAAACAACTGAATAAAGCCATGGAAGGTGCAGGGACAGATGAGAATACTCTCATTGAAATTATCTGCAGCAAAACCAACGAAGAAATAAAAGACATTGTTGAAGCATATGAACGCTGTGAGTAATTTATGAAAAACCAAAAGGCAGATAGAGCATGTAAATTCAATTACTTATATCACTTCTTATTACTAAACACATTTGTATACACATGAGAATATTTAGGGCTTTAACAGTAACAAGATTAGTCGTACCTGCCACAAGAAGCCTCTCACAATTTATAAATGTTAATATCTCAATTTTGGTGAAATTGGGGGCTTATAATAGTATTTTACTTAATCAATTTGTTAAGGACTGAGGCAGTAAAAAGATGAGACACACTAAGACCAAAATTTATATATTAATATTTGCAATCAGCGGGAGCAAAGGCCGGATTCGGGGCCAGCGGGGGGAAAGAGGGGGCAACTGTCCCGTCAATGTTGGAGCATTTTTAAAGAAATATATATTTCGGCATTCTATTTCGCCGACCTTAAAATTTGTGTTATAAAATATTTACTTTTTTTGTATTCTGAGAGGAAATTTATTAGTAACTAAGCGAACAATAATTTTATTAAGCTTAGCTAAAAACACACGCGTATAAATTGGTGAATTTTAGTTCAGTATTATAAAATTTGCGAGATAATGTTCCGCATTACTGTGAATATCCCTTATTAATAAATCTTCATTCGATTATATTTTGCTCTTAAACATCATTTACTTAGAAATTAAACAGTTTCAAACCAAACATCATGAGTCATATCACCCGAATTAACTCCCAAAAAGGAAGAGTATTTCCCATTTATTATACACATTAGATACATGGTGCTCAAATTTCAAAATATAAAACAAAATTGAAGCAGCTACAATATAATATTATATTTATATACTTATACTAGCGGAACCGGACAGACGCTGTTCTGCCCTCTCTCTCACACTCTCTCTCTCACACACACACTCTCTCTCTCTCACACACACTCTCTCTCTCTCTCTCACACACTCTCTCTCTCTCACACTCTCTCTCTCTCACTCTCTCTCTCACTCTCTCTCTCTCTCACACACTCTCTCTCTCTCTCACACTCTCTCTCTCACTCTCTCTCTCTCTTTTTCTCTTTCTCTCTCTCTCTCTCTCTTTTTCTCTTTCTCTCTTTTTCTCTTTCTCTCTCTCTCTCTCTTTCTCTCTTTCTCTCTTTCTCTCTCTCTCTCTCTCTCTTTCTCTCTTTCTCTCTTTCTCTCTTTCTCTCTTTCTCTCTTTCTCTCTTTCTCTCTCTCTCTCTCTCGTTCTTATATCCACACATACACAGGCATACATTACATGGATGCATTTACACTCATTAAGATAAATAATGGCAATTAAACACCAATCATCTTATGAAGTCTCGTATCATGCTCTACAGTACCATTCCGCTGGTTCTTTTCAGCAATTTTTTCTGCGACTTTTTCATTGGTGTCATTCATTTCTTGCGATTAATATTTTCAACGCTAGTTATTGTTCGATGCATAAATACCCTTGACAGAAAAACTAACTCTCTGACTTCGGTTTTTCAAAACAGATTGAAACGTAGCTTAATACAGACATTTATAAAATACACTTGGTTTTGAAACAATGGTATGGTTTTGTAATTGTAAATCAGTTTAAAGTTGAAGAGAATACGCATATAATATCCAATTAACATCTTTATGAATGCAAAACTGCACAGAAATGCTTTAGCGTTTTGCGCGCTAGCGTGAGAGCTCATTTAAGCGGAGAGATATCTCGGTCAATGTCGAATGATACGATGGCATTTACATGTCAGGCGAATTCGATCAAAATTACAGCACAGAGATTGACTCTTACAGCCTCTACGCTACACTCCCCTTGGAACTTCGCTTGGCACTTTATAAAACGTGCTGCCGGCACAGCACAGAAGTAGAAGGACACACTTGAGCTTCTAGTACAGAACAAAGTTCTACGGCTCATAGCACGCCCTCCGTTTCGGAAACCGTTGAAAGTACTGAGGAAGGAACTTGATATCGAGTCCTTCACTCGATGCTTGAGAAGGCTTTTGTTTAACGAAGCCTATCAAGCCGTTCAAACCAAGGAAGCTCCGGCACCGCTAAAACAATTAGTTCGACACGTCCTCACAATAGGGCAAAGAAGACAAGCACTCCCCTATGATATTCTGAGAGCGTAGTGCAACATAAAAAGCCGATTGGCTATTGACTAAGGTACTAAACACAACAAACTTTTCAATGATTTAAGCTCACTGTGGAAATAGTATTATTTGATCACTAAATACTATTATTTAAAATACATTTCCAAATTTTTTTCTTGCTTAAACGTATTTTTTGTTATTTGTTAAAATAGCATAACACATTTAGTTTCTTGATAGAAAGTTCATAATTTTATTTTTTCGGGGAAAGGCTGCATTTCAGCATTGTCCTCGGTCCAAAATTGTCTAGCTCCGGCCCTGCTTCTACGCAAAATATTTGGTTCTGGCATGTTTTGATTTGTTTTTAGTATCATCTTGTCAAACTCGTTTCTTAAAATCTATTGATAGAATTCCTCTATTTATTGGCTTTTCTCAAACAACATTAAGTATTTCATAGATTGTCTGTCTGATAAAATAATTTCGGGAATAATCACATTTGCATTACTTTATTGTTATTAAATGTTACAGTATATGAACGCCCTTTGGCAGAACATATGTGCAGTGAGACATCAGGTGACCTCCGGCGCTTGCTGACTCTTATAGTAACGGTGTGTAATGTAATCACATAAAACAGTTTTTGAGCTGGCAGAGGTTAAGCTGAAGCAATAATAATTTGCATATGTCCCTCCTACATTGTGAAACTCTTAACATTAATGTAATATCAGAAGCACTCTTTCTCTAAATAATTACTTACTATTAATTACTTTCTTTCAATGAAGAAAAAAAAGAACAGTTGCAGTATACCAGATCCATGATACTATAACAAGCTCCCTTGTTACAGTATCATGGATCAGGTATACTACAACTGTTCTTTTTTTCGTGTAACTAATTTACTTCATACTCATTTTAAATAGCAATATAGCTTATTGAAAATTCATTGCAATAATGTATAAAGATCCTTTGTGTTTTTTTGCTGTATCTGCAATTAAATTTCGAATGATAGAATTATATCAATTTTTCTTCCCCTCAAAATTCTTGAGTAAATCAAATTATATTATTTTATGAATGAAACAAAGCCACTCCTTATGGTTAATGGATTTTTAATATTAAGTTTTCAAAGTATTATTTTATTAATAGGTATGCTTCATGTAATAACTTCCTCATTTTTTCTCAATCTTTTGTATTATATCTAGAACTCAAACATTTCACTCCTTATTTTCAAACTTATAATAAATTTAAAGGTTGTCGTCTTTTCCAATCCACAAGGAAAATTACCTATATTTTCAGGGAAAATTTTAAAGACTGATAGCTTTTAACATGATTCTTTCTCGAAAATGTTCGAGATATAATACTTTCTTTCTTTTATATATTCTATTATTGTAATTGACTGTCTCTGTAGGGAGTAAGAGACGATTATTCTGTGGATCCTGAGAAAGCTAGAGAAGCTGCTGTGGAACTGCATGAATCAGGTACGTCATTTTTTCACACTTTAGGTTTACATTCCAGTTTCCAATGATTAATACTAAGTGATTTACTCGGTGACATAACATACTTGGTAGCATAGCTACACTATTGCTGAATATAGAGGTTTTCTGTAGCCCAAATAAAGAAGGGTCTCTGAGATTACGAAAGAAACTAGTAGCAACAGCACGTACTTTCTCAATTTTTTTATTATGTGTCGCTTCCGAAAATTCAGGGAGCTCGAAGGAAATGAGACCTGCACCATTATTTTAACTGTTCCTTTCTCTATTCATGAATAAAATGTTAAGAAACAAATTTTAGTTCGATTATTTCGATCAATATTCGATCAATTCGAGAAAATTATTTTTTATAAATTGCATTAATTTCAAGCGGAAATTATAGAAAATATACTATTTTTTAAAAGAAATTGATCATGACCTTTTTCAGAGCAGAGTTTTTAGAACAGTTATTAAGGCAAAAATCTCCATCTTCAATTCTGAAGTTTTAAATTTCTAACTTTTTGCAATTTTTAAAAATACAGAAGAGGAAAAGGGACTAGCAACACTTTGTTTATCGTTCTTTGGTACATATAAAGAGAAAATTTAAAGAAAAAATGAAGCCGATTGTAAGAAAAAGATTAAAAAATTGTCTAAATTTCACGAAAATCCACTCAAATTTCAGAAAAATAGTACAAGATTATTTCAAGTCTTTCAACATCATAATTTTTATTAAGAAAAAAAGTTATCTATCTTCAGTATCCTATAGAAGTTGTCGGAAGACGCGGAAAAAGAATAAACATTAACAATTTTCGAAAAAACAGATTTAAATGAAAATTAGACCTACGTCATTTTTTAAGTGTCATTACATTATACGAGGAGAAAGTTTAATAAAAAAATTTGAGTCAATTTTGAGAAAATTTTGAAAATATTGAGGCTTTGTGTAAAGTGCCTCCAAAAATTAAAATAGCCTATTCAAACTCGCAGGATCTCGAGTTCCTTTAAATAGACGAAGAAAATTGGATAAACGGTTCAGGCACTAGCGTTTTCTGCAGATTGGCAGGTCGTTATGTCCCGTAAGAGGTGACTGTGGTCTTCCTCCACTCGATGGCAAGATACGGCACCGATCTACCGTCGGCTAGCAGGGTTTTCCCCAGAGTTGTGCCGTAGACTATAATTTTACGTCTATGTGTGTCTTTTACACGTAATCTACGTGTAGTCTACATGACTTTTTACATGTAGACTACGTACACAATGTAATCTGTGTAGACTATTTATATTGTCACATCAAATAACCAAAAAAGTTTATAACAAGTAGTAATAGTATAATAACGTTAAAATGTAATATTTTAAAAAGTTCGATTCAGTAAGTCAAAGATATACTATACCTAAAGAAGAAATGACAACCTCCGTAACCATTGCAAGAAACCAGTACGAACGTGTTTCAACTTGCACATCAGACTACTCTGCATCCGACTCTTTCCCTCCAAGTGCAGTATTGCCAAACAGGCGCGCAGAAATATTGTACAGATCCCTGATCATGTCGACAACATTTACGCCCCACTCAGAAGCAAAACAAGGGGCCATCTCAATATTTGCTCATGGATCAGGGAAACTGGACAAAATCCTGATCGAGATGTGGTTCATTGACCCGGAAGCTGAAGTACATTATTTGTTACAAACATTTTAAGTCTTTTTTTAAAAAAAAATATAGGCTACAAATGTAAACTAATTCAATATATAGTAGTAATTTAGTATACGTAATTTACTCTATAAAGGAACAAGATTTCCCCCACTCTTCCATTACTAGGGCCTAGGGCCTAGGACAATAATAGTTTTTCTGTCGAAAATTAACCGTTTTCCTGTGATAATTTTATTTACGAAGTAAGAACGAGAAAGTTAAAATGTGATGAAAATGATAATTATTTAAAAACCAATGCATATTTGAATTTCGAATTTTCAACTTCTATATATGAGAAAGTAATAGAGTTTGATTTGAATATATTTTATCATCACACTAGTAGCATTATGACTTCATTATAACATTCCTTTCCAAAGATTAAAGAAAGACAATTTTTGGAACGAGTAACAGTATCACCTTAATTGAGACATTCATATAAAAGAATCATAGAAATAATTAGGAACTGCCTGTCCTCACACCCAAACCTCACTCATTTAAACCATGAAGGCTAGCAATGAAACAAATTATTATCAGCTAATGGTACAATTTACTTGGGTATTATAAGTCAAGCACGTTTAAAGAGATGATGAGGCTTTCTATCATCTTCTATCTTTCTATAATATAATACTCCTATATAGGACTATATTATTGATATATCCTTCTATAATATATGCCTCATGTAATAGAAATAGGACCTTGTACTCCTATAAATAGGAATTTTGTATATTCTTTAATAATTGGATGGGAGGCAGCATCTTTTGTTTCTGGATTTCTGACAAGGTTATCCAGATCACTGGCAAATCCATGCGTTCCCCCCTCCGCCCAACCAAGAGTTTACATTTATCTTCTTTTATTTGTCAAAATTGATTTAAATATTTATTTATTGTCAAATTATATAATTATTTAAACAATAATATTGCATAGTATCATATCTATGGTGTATAAATAAATACAATGTTATAACAAATACGTTTATTATTTAACAAAATCTATCCTTAATCTTTTTCAAAATTTAACAAAAAACTTCAATTAGTTGTTTTTGTACGCCTTTTCTGTCCAGAATTGATCATAATTATGCCCCTTCAGAATGTTGTCAAAAGTTTTCATATAAACTACAGAGATCAATTATTAACAGTTAAAGAATTTTTGAACATTTTAAGTAACTTGGAAATAAAGAACTTGAATATTAAGTTATTTAGTAATGAAAATGCAAATTTCTCAAGCACATATGGAACAAAACATCACCATGGAAGAAAACACTCCATGAGACTTTCAAAGAATTATCTGGTAACTGTAATGATTATAATTAGAATTTTGGTTCAAAAGAAGATTAATAATACCTACTACCCATTTTTGTCCACTTACAGTGTCACTTATAATTCTTGCAAGAAACACCCACCTAGCGATGTCTATGTTAAGACTATGGCAAAATTCTTCTTGATTCACGTAGGTAGATTTATAGTACTGCTTTAGCAATGGAAGTTAATTTTATTTTCATATTCTCTAATAAAACTATGTGAATGTGATGTAAAACTCACAAATTTCCTTCCCCAATTCAGGAATGTGAAATGTCTAAAGAAGAGTTAATATTGTTCTGTTATGTTTTAAATGAAAGTGTTCATGCTAATATGCTCTATTTTGCAGGTGAATTTAAAATAGGAACAGATGAAGCAGTATTCAATAGAATATTGGCTCATGAAAGCTTCCCCCAACTTAAACTGATCTTTGAAGCTTACAAAGAAGTATCTGGTCGCACAATTGAACAAGCATTGCGAGATGAAATTTCGGGAGAGTTACTAGAAGCTTTGCTGGCAATAGGTTTGGCATACCTACTAACTTCATATACAAAGTTATCAGGAGCTTCATGAACAATACAATTATTAATAATCATATCATTTTCAGTGGAGAACGTCCAACATCCTCCAAATTACTTTGCAAAACGGATACACAATGCAGTATTTGGAGCTGGTACTGATGACAAAACCCTGATAAGAATTATTGTAAGCAGAAGTGAAGTTGATTTGGGAAGTATAAAAAAAGAATTTGAAAAGCTTTACGATAAAACTTTGGAAAGTGTTATCGAGGTATGTTTTCAAAAACTGAAATTCATTTTTTACATGTATAATACAATAAACCACTTTACCAGCATATGGATTTGTGCAATTTTTGTGAAGCTTTCAAACTGTGTTTTTACTGAACACTTTGGCTCTTTTGTTTAGTAGCACTGATGTCATTCTTAACATTCTTCAGTCGGAACATATTGATATCAATAGGTGTTTAAATGTACTTAAAGAATTTCAAAAGGAATTAAATTTAATTAGGATGGGATTTGTTCACTGTAAAGAATGTAAAAATAATTTGGCAGAAGAAACTATTTTGGAAGGGGACAAATGTGAAAAATGTGAAATGATTGGTTTCAAAGTAGTGTGGCAGAAAAGCATTTCTATGCTTGGCTCACCTGCAACAAAAAAAAGGAAGCTTGAGGAAATAAGGGATAATTCATCTCCTGAACAAAAATACAGAAGATTATATTTTTCAATTATTGACAACCTCTTGTGTCTTGTAGATGAACGTTTTGCATCATTGCTTAAATTGATATTTTTTGATCTCTTGAACCCAAGAAAATTTGAATTATATTCAGCAACGAATTGTTTCCCTGAGACTCTGCTTGCTGACTTGCTAAGAGTCTATCCAAATGTTTTTGAATCACTTTTGGGTCTTAAACATAACTAATAGTATTTTATAGAACTCCTACCTTTCAAAACAAATCCCCACGTGAACTAGTCACATTTTTGAAACAAGAAAATTTAGACAACTCATTTAAGGGAATCTGTTTAGCAAAATTAATCTGTACTATACCAGCCACAACAACATTGGTAGAAAAAAAAATTCTGCTTTAAAAAGAATTCGTTTTTACAAAATATCAACACAAGAAGAACAGATGAGAAATTTCGCCCTATTATCAATTGAGAAAGAACTCTTGGAATCCATATAAGGGAATGAGTTTGCTATGCATAATTTTGATTAATGCTTTTTCAAATAGGCCTCTCCTAGTCACCGCAGAAAGATAGACCCGTATATTCGACAAATCTAACAATGATTGAAAAAAATGCCACGCCTCGCCACTCACATTACTCTATAAAATGGTTCTTTAATCATCACAAAATTTCAATTTTTGACTTATTCATGTATAGTTCTAATTGCAATTAATCCATTTTTTTATTTATCAATCTGAATAATAATATTAATTTATAGTTATTATCATTATTTCGAATTTTAATTAATTTTAGACTACAGAGAAGGAGATGAAAATAAGAAGTTTTAGGGTAATAAAGCCATTTAGTTACATTTATTTTGAGTTAATATTATTAAGCTAATATTTGTTCTAAAGAAAGTTAAAAACAAAATCAGTCTCACTATTAAAATTATTAATTGCCTCTAACAATATCTTTATACTTTCTTTCCAAACACTCCATTTATTAAATTCAGAACAAGTATTGATCATTCTTTCATTTCAAAACTTTACAGGGTGAAACAGCTGGTGACTATAAACGAGCTTTAATTGCTCTGATTGGTGGACCATGAATAAATACAAGATGTCAAGTTATATTCTGGGTCTAAGGCTTCAATTATGAAGGAACATAACTGATGAAAATAAATATCTGAAGATAGAGAAGAATTGTGTACTTCATAATATAATTTTTAAATGATATTTCTTATGCATTCCTTGTTAGCTTGATAGAAACATATTTTAAAAATGAGGAAAAGTATCTAGTTCTGAAACAAATCTCCACTGGTCATGAACATCACTAAATAAATGTTGTACACATTTAATAATTTTAAACAGTTTACATGCTTATTATTAATAATGTATGTAAATTTTTTTCTGTCCAAAAAAAAAATTTTGACAATAGAAAATCATTGTGTATACAAATAAATTTGAATTTACTTACAGCTTTTAAGTATATTATCCAAAGAGATCTTTTAGAGGAATAGAATTAAGTCTGAAATATCACCAATGACAACAAAATAGATGTTTTCCTGTTGTACTATAGAAGTGTTGTAAAGAGCAAGTCATTTTTATAAATAGAATGAAAAGTTGCTGATAAATTTATTGTGCCTTTACATTACCTTAATTGCTTGCAACAGCTGCCAATATGCACTGAAACAATAAAAGGACTGAAGGTTTACTGCTTTTATATTTTGTTGCTTGATTTGTTTTATAAATATTTTTATTATACAATTGTCATGTTGTTATTGACACAAAATTCAAAAGAATGTAAAATTAATAAAATTGAGAAACATTAAAACTATAATTATTTTTCCTTTAATAATTTGATAATCATTGTTCTTGTGATGTAGTAGTTTTGTTTGTTTTAACCTCCATGGGACAACATACTCCTGCAACACTGAAGCAATGAAATATTTTTGTATTATAAAGAGTTCGTAAAAAATGTATCTCTTTAATGTATGTAGATAAGCTCTTTCTTACTTACTTGTTTAATTCACAGAAATATTTGAGAAAAATATTATAGTTGTCTTTGAATTCTTCTAGTACACAAGAAGACAAAGGTTGACATGAGCCATTTCCCTTGTTAGGGGTTGAACAGGCTTCTGATTTTAAATCTTTTAATTCCTAGAAAATCAATTCCATGTTATAATTTGTGATTATGTAATTTCATTTGTAATGCCATTTCATTGCCAAGTACATTTACCTCTAAATTATCAGCATCAAGTAGATATGTTTGCGTTTGGGATTTATTATCAAAAATAATTTTTATACGTCCTGACGAGTCCAGATATTGCGACAACCAACTGACATCGGTTAATTTCAAAACCGTTTGCATTGGAATTTCTTCAGTCCCAGAAAATGAACACAAGTTTTAAAATACACCGTACTAATTGAAAATGTGATTTAGTCTTGTCAATTTATTTAATAATTTACTTACGCTCTGTGTTATTTTGACTTATATCTGTCTCGTTATGTGTTGTAGCATCTTTATTATTTGCCATGTCTGTGGGCAGGCCAAGACTTGGATGAACATGATTTTGAAATGGTCTCATAGGAATGGAAACTAAAGAGAATCAATAATTAGCAATTGTTATTGGTACTGTTAAGGAAGTACCTTGTACCTTGTAAGTACAGTTTGTATCTCAAGATGTTTTCAACTGGCTTACCTATCTTATTCTGAAAAACGAAATTCTCTCCTTCTTCTGTTTCATCAATAGGTTTAGCTAATAATTTGTAAGGTAATTCATTTTCAGGTTTCATTACTATTAATGATGTTAATGGTGTCACAAACTTGTACTGCCAAAATTCAATATTTGCTATTATTAGAATAAAAGCACAGTATTTCTGAGCTATGAAAATATAGTTGTAAGCACATAATATATGATTATTATTGTTCAAACATGAGTTTTAATAACATTAAACAATAACAACAACAACAACAACAACAAAAAGATGAAAATAAAGTGAAATTTAGGAAATTGATTGTCTAATGATTAATTTCGAAACTTACATAAAGAACAAGAAAAATATTACATAACTTACATATATACAATAACAACTTACATAAAGAACAAGATCAAATTGGGATGGAGGGTGATAATAAATGAAATGGGATGAGACAATTTATTCATGAACAATTGGGTCTGATCTAATTATAAATAACAAATTGTGTCTTCCCATTTTGTTCATCATCACTCTTCATCACAATTTGTAAAGGTCTTGGACTTGGAACCCACTGAGATCAAATATTTACATTTTTTGACAATCCATTTTCAAAAATAACTTTTAAACTTCATATTGCACATTTCAATAATATTCTATTAAATTATTTTACAAAGTATATGAATACAAAAAATTAAAATGATATACCTTCAAGGCCATTTTCCTTGCCACATTTTTATAAGTTTGATTCTTCTTATTGGAACCTCCTTCAGCAATTTGCTGCTTAATAAGTTGTTGGATAGTCAAATAGGCCCATAATCTTTCTAGTAAATCTACTTCTTCTTGAATATTGATCTAAATGCAGATCATAAGTTAGGCAAAATTAAATTCAATAATAATGTTTCAGTTTCAATTTGTTGGAACACTATCTACATATTTCTTTACCTTCCTCTTTGCTTGAATTTTTTGATGTATTTCAGTTTTCTTATTCCACCCTGTTACTTCATTATTAAAATTAAGAGAATCGTCCACATCATCTTCAACTTTATATTTACCAGCAACAATTATTTCACCTCCTTTGAAATATGAGTGGAAATGATTTATTGTAATGGAGTCTTGCAATATCTGAAATAATTTTAAAATGTCAGTATACAATAATTTGTACTTTCATATCATTTTTCATTATACTTACAGAGCGCCCTGAATAAAAGAAATTGATATTTGTCAGCAATGGAGATGAAATTTCTTCAAAAAATGATTCTAACTGAATAGCAGTGTCTGATGCTTCATAAATCTTTCTTGCAAATCCATGATTTTGAAGTGATAACCTTCTTAAGAAACCAAAATTTGCACTGTCACCTATTGACAAACTAAATATGGTGGCCTGAAAGAGAAAACATACTTCAGTTGATTTTTATGGTTGTCAAAGGAAAGACATAATCATTTTAAACAATTACATGTGTAAAAATGTCTGAATATTTGCCACATTAATGATTGAGAATGGTTTATTTTGCATAATGAAGCTTTGACCACAGAAAAATCTTTGAAAAATTAGTTACACTTCATAAAATTACTATTGAAGGCAGATATTATTCTTTCTGTTTATTTAAGGGGATTCCTTCTAAAAACTTACAATACTTGTGACTTTATTGTTTTTATTAAAGTTCTTATTCAGACTGTATATTTGTTCACCTGTTTCTTGAGCACCATGTAAGCCTACGTTCAATGTTTTCTGATAAAAAAATAAATATATGATAGGAACTTTGTTGTGGATAATAAATGCAGATTGGTTAGCGTAGCAAATTGGAAAATATTTGTTGAAATCTTTCGACTCATCTCTGAAAAAACAATGTATTTGGAATACAATGTAACCTGAATTTCTGTGTTGCGAGCCCTCGTTGTTGCCAGTATGCGGGAAGAACGCAGTTCACCTGTTGTAGGAATGCCATCTGACAGTAGCAAAATAATAGAAGGCACAGATAAGCCTGGAATTCCTGATTTCTCTGAATTAACTTTGTGTTTTGCAGCCAATTCAAGAGCTTTCCTCAGAGCACTATTTATGTTTGTTCCTTCAAGAAAATACACATCATGTATTAATTTTAATAACAATTACCTTATCTTTTACAATTTATCAACAAAGTACACTGTATTCAATTTAGAGGGAGATTAGAAATTATTTTATGTGAATAATGTATAAAAGAAGATATAAGGAACTTACCTCCTGTGACATTCAATGTAGAAATAAAATATGTTGCTCTATCAATATTTATCTTATTTGCTTCATGAGTAAAATTGTACCTATTGATTCCAACTGTTTCTTGTGGTTGTGTTGACCATACCTAATTGACAAAATATGTTACAATATATTGTGCTCTTGAAAAAAAAGGATGAAAAATACCATGAAATGCAATTTCTGGCTTTAAAATTGGGAATAAACACTTAGAAATGAAAACACAACAGTTCAGTAAATGTGCTAAAACACTTTGTATGTAGGAGGAAGTTCAACTATGGTAATTTTTAAAACATGAAACTGATGATAATGTGATATTGAAGAGAATAAAGAGGAAATTGAACAATATAAAAAATGACAAGATTTAACAGTGATATTAATTACTGTTTCTTCTAAAAATAAAACATTCACAAATGTATAAATGAATAGAATGTGTTACACATAACAAAAAGAACATTAAATGTGCTTACAGAGACATCATTTCCAAAATGGATCAAACTAAAATGATCTTCAGAGCGTAATTTCCCAAGAATTGACTTCATTGACACCTGAAGTTGCTCAATTTTCCGACCCCACATAGATGTACTTGTGTCTAACACAAAAATGATGTGCAATGGTATTGGAGAAAGACTCTCAGGAGCAAAAAAATGAACAAAATGTCCATCACCAAACTGGGAAAAGAAAAAAAAAAGGAAATTTTTAATGCATTTCAAATTATCTGTTCAGTAATGCAGTATGCATTTCAAATTATCTGTTGAGTAATGCAGTATTCTCTTTGATTCCTACCAGAATTTCAGAAGACGACTGTGTTCTATTAACATCGTATTGAACTCTTAGCTGATAATTCAGCTCTTTATCATCAGAATTATTTAACATGAATTGTTGTTGATCACAAGATGGATGATATTGAATTTTAGCAGTACGATATGAAAAGTTAGTAGCAAGTTCAGAAAAGTTGCCGCCAACTGAAAATAAAAGAGAAAGAAATGTGTTAAATTATTGAATTATGCCATAAGTGTTTACAACCACAAAATTTAAATACCAATCTCTACTTTATTATTCTGAGAAATATACCTACCATGTTTTATAGGTCCAGTAAAAAAGTAAGTCTCATTTCCGGGAATTGTAATTACTAATTTTGTAATGTTATTAGTTTCTCTAATATTAACATAAATATCCAAATCTCTCAGTGCCTGGAAAATATATTTTATCATAATATATTTTATCTAAGGATGTATTCATTGATGAAAAAAGATAGTCATACCTGTTTTGGCATAATTGAAATCGTGAGATCATAAAGTGAATGTCGGCGACTCAGCAGTTCTTCATATGTTAAGTTATATGAAATACTACTTTTAGGCTCTACATTGACTGATATTGTGAAAACATCTGATTCTCGAGCACTGGAAAATAATAATTTCTCATGTAGAGTCTGTTTGTAATATATGTTGGTAAACACACTTTTGATGGATGACTATCTATAGAATTGAAATTCATTACTACTTTGTCCCATTAATTTTCAGACAAACACCTACTAAAAACATGTATTCATAAAAAGTTATTGATTGAAAATTGTTCCATAGAAAGTTCATCAGTTTAATTACAATGATCTGCTAAACAATCTTTTTAAACTATTTTATCAATAATTTTTATGAAAAAATGTTTTATATTTTAAAATGTGTCTGTCCAAAAATGAAAAATCAATGAAGTAGTAATATTTCAATTATATGAAACAGGCAATATATTGAACTACAATCTATAGAATTGTAAATTAAAATGTGATACCTTGTAGATATATGTGCAGCTGACTCTCCAGCTCCAACAGCATTTTGATATACTTGTTGAGCTTCTTCTTTGCTTTTCACTGCTGTTTTATATTTAATATCATTAGCAATGCTACAAATAATTTTGCATTAGTATATTTTAGAGTTCATTTCATTTTATAATTGATCAAGTATTTTCTATATTAAGAGGTATTTATTCTCGTATTTTCATTTTGCTTACAAATAAAAAGAAGAAACATATGCACTTTCTGGTATTATAAAAACAAGTTCAGTTTCTTGAGTTTCATTTCCCAAATTTTCAATGTTGCTCATCAATGTTGTTACAGCATACCGATGTCTTACATCAGAGACTATTTTCAAACTTTGGACCAGGGAGCTGTCATCAGTAATCTGACAACCTGGTTCTTCAGTAACCTTAAAAAATTAGTCAATAATATTATTAATAATATATAAGTTAATAAAAAATTATTAATTTTTTTATTTTCAAGGGATATACACTTCTTTAGTTAATTTCTAACACTATTTTGTAATCACTTAGAAATAAAATTCTAATGATTAATATCTAAGAAATAAAAGAGTAAGTATTTTAAGAAATTGTTGAGAATTCTTTGATTGGTAACTTAAAACTATAAAATTCTTATTTTGTATTTTGGTGATTTCAACTCATGGAAATAGTTATTATCATGAAGGAAAACCTGATCATTTCAGAATAATCAATTTTATTAATGGTTTATCCCACCATTTCCGTCCAAAATAAATATATAAACAGCTTCAAAAAAGAAGCCACACCTTCAAAATTAAATTGTAGAAGATCAAGGTTCTTACTTTGTTTTTCTTCTTTTCTTTCACAAAAACATTAAATACTCTTGAGGGAACATTGGAATTTTTAAATTATCTTGTTCAGATTTTTTGAAAGCTGATTGATAATTATTTTGAATGGAGATCATAATGCAACACATGACAGCTTCCACAATGCCTGGAGCAAATGCAGTTTCACACATTGTCAAATGGTCTTATTACTAGCCTACTGTTTTTAAACACAGAATAATGAAACTGCAAGACCATTCAGTTATCTAAGAATAAGAATATTTATTGCCTTATTAAACAATTAAAACCATTTAAATGATAGAAATCGATTCTTTCTAAATTCACATAACATGAAAAATGTAAATACAAGTCCCGTTTTCCCTCACCTTCAAAATCACTTCATGGAGTGTGAATGACCAATTTATTAACAACAGTATAGCTGATCTGCATTTATGTTAAACAAAAGGCATGAACATTTGAAAATTAATCAATGAATTATGATGCTCTACTCAACCTGCAGGACCTGTATGTGGGCAAGGGAGTAAGCTTGTCTTTATGTCCTTCCCTTCTCTAGGCATATGTTTAGAGGTAGTTTGGCATTGCCTGCTTCTGCATGGATGGTAGAGATTATTAAGATAAATGAGTAAGAATGTGAATCACACATCCTGTTGAGGTTTCTGTTGGAATTAGAAATTCAATTTGCACACTGATACCAAAGGAAATAAAATCTTACAATTTAATATTCTGCCACCTGTTTTCGATTTTGTATTTATTGTATTTACTATATTTTTTGTTGGAAATATTCATTTACTTTATTAGGGAAAGTTGACAACTTCTCTATTAACCTTTGGACAAAATGTAGTATACAATTAAGATGTTACATTATAACATATTTGAATAAAGGATGTGACTGAATGAATGTGAACATGTAAGTACATGTTCATGCAGTAACAAACTGAAATTCAGTTTGTTACTGCATCAACATGCAGTAACAAACTGAAATTCGGAACATTTTATTTCATTGTGATACTTAATGGGAAGAAAATAACATTCAGTGGATATAATTAATCCTCTGTGTACACGTATATAACACACAGAGATCAAGAGAAAAATACATAGAATTTTGTGACTTTTTAAATGCATTTAAGAAGATAGAAAATAAGATTAAAATACACTGGTGTTTGTGAAAATTGCAACACCGAGAAGGAATTATCGGAATCACTTAAAAATCGGTACATGTGTAAAACAGTGTATTTGTAAGAAGTTATTAAATTGGCATAGAGATGGCATGCACGATGGCCAAACAGCGCCCTCCTTTGTGTGACAGGTCAGGTCACGCTCAGTTGATGTAGAGCACTAAAATGTCGTGGAAAATATCAAGTAATTGCCGGTATGCCTTATCGACGCCAAAGGGCGCAATATCAGCATTGGGTGAGTTCGAACGGGGCAGAACAATCGATTTCCAAAAAGCGGGTTTGTCGTACAGTGACATTGCTGCTCGAACTATTTTTCAAATATTGCTAATCTTGCGATTTAAAAAAAAAAATTTTTTTAAATTTATTTTTATTTATTTATGTTAAAATTTTTACTCATATTTCAACTATTTATAGTTTAATTAAGGGAAGGGATTCTGGAACTCAAGAAAACGTGCGCAAATAATCTTCTCCCCCTACGTCACAAACAGTTTTTTCCTTTTTTTTTTTTTTGACTAAATAAATCTAAATCTAAACGGGGCGCGCTGCTACGACAGTGATGCGTGTGTGGAATCAATGGATAGAGGAAGGTCGTACATAGCGACAAGCGAGTACTGGACCACGCAATGTGATCAAAGCGCGAAATGGCCGCCATCATGTCTGCATGGCCGTAACCGACAGCGGCGACGTCCAAGCGTTGGCTCGACTTTGAGGCACTGAAACGGCTGTGGTTCTGTGTACGTCACCGGTTCGACGCCGTCTGCTGAGGGCTGGACTGGTGGCACGCATACCACTGCGTCGGATTCCGTTTTCCATAAACCACCAACGCCTCAGACAGCAATGGGTACATGAACGTGTTCACTGGTATGCTGAGTGGAAAAATGTAGTGTTTTCGGACGAGTCCCGCCTCAATTTGTGCTACAGCGATAGCCGCATACGTGTTCGACGCTTCCGTGGGGATCGCAATCTGCCAGCCTGCATTGTTCCGCGCCATTGCAGACAAACGCCAAGTGTGATGGTTTCGGGCGCCATTGGCTTCAATGTGCGTTCTCGTCTCATACGTAATGAGGACAATCTGAACAGCAACCGCTACATCAAAGAGGTTTTAGAGCCCGAGGTACTGCCCCTCCTGCAAACGTCTCCACATGCCATAACTCAGCAGAACAATACCCGACCGCATGTGGCGAGGAATGTGCAAGTTTTCTGCGAAGAACGACTGTTGCCATTGCTTCCCTGGCCGTCACATTCGCCTGACATGTGGCCCATCGAACATGTGTGGGATATGGTTGGTCGGCAACTTGTTCGTTCTGGGCCTCCTGTAGCCACTGTGAATGCTTTGTGGCCACGCATAGAAACAGCGTGGAAACGCATGGACACAACTGTGTGTTCCCCAGCAGCATATCCAGGCTCCCTTTGAATCCATGCCACGACGATCAAAGGCTCTGTCGGTAACGTATGACGGTTTTACACAGTACTAAATACTCAAGGTCAAAATGCAGATACAGCTCTATAATTCTAATCATTTGTATATTGTGATATTCCCAATCTGTGGAATAAATTTTATTGTCATGTATGTCTCCTTTTTGGCGTTGCAATTTTCACAAACTCCAGTGTATATTTACGTCAAAATAGTAAAAGGCAGATTAAGGCAATCAAAATATTTAATTTGTCCTAATTCGTTCACTATACTAACTAGAGATTCTACAACAATACATATTGTCTCGCATTATTGGGAACGGGTACGTAATATTATAATATTGCAATTTCTGCCTTAATTTTCGTCGTCACTTGAAAAAGTCTAAACGAATTCAATCGAATCGCCTGCGGTGCGGATTTGTAATTATTATTCAGGAACAGTAGCCCTTTCTTACTTCTAAAAAACAAACAGGAATGAATAAATCTCAACTGTAACACTATTCGCAGCCCATTATGCAGTCAAGCAGTGATCCAGAACTGAAGGCCGTCCAATATATCGTCTGTTTAATGCATAAAAATAAAGTTACAAATTTATCGTATGTTATCATTTAAATGATGTATCTGGAACACGGTCGAAACGTTTATGAGAAATTAATTATTTTAAAGCAAATGTATCATCAAAAATACAACATCTGAGCATCGTCTCTTTCTGGGCGGCGTGTGAAATATATTCCTACGGAACATCATCCCGTTCCTAGCACGAAACTAATTACGGAGTCATTTTGTAAAGTAAGTCTTATATACTGTAACGTATTAGCCAGCGTGCCTCATGGCATCTATTTGGGGACGCTTGGTTGCGGATTAGTCTCGCCACAGGAAGAAGGGTTTTTCCGTAAAGGGAAGAACGCGGAAACGGGAGACACAAGGCTTTGGGAGTTTCCGGCTTATAAGAGCTTTTCACTGTTATAACAAGCGAGGGGGTGGCGTGACGTAGTAGGTCACGTGGGCCTCGCCTATATAACAGAGTGTACAGAGCCAGTGGGTGGGTTCTGGAGACAGTGGGAGAACCTCGTGCGTGTGCACAAAACTTGGCGCCACGACGGTGCATATGCGAGCCAGGCTCGCGAGGCTCGAGTCACTAGTTGACGAAGCCTGCGGACTTTAGGTCCTTGGGTGACTGCGGTCACGGGGGAGCGATGCTGTGTGCGTGCTCCGAGGTGAAGAGTGGTTGAGTGCCACGATTCACGCCGATTCTCAATCGGATAAGATCGCTCCTGCGATCGAGGCAAACCAGCCGTTGGTGCGCCAGAACGGACTTTGTGTCCCAGCGTGACATCCGGTCACGGAAGCTAGGCTTTGTGCGCGCTTCAAAAGTAGAAGTGGCGAATGCCACAATCAAAACCATCTTCAATCGGGTTTGGATCGCTCCCGCGATCAGGGGATAGTAGGTCTATCAGAGCTAGGGTGTAAGTAGATTATTAAGTATATTTATTTGTTTTGTTTTCTTGTTAATAAATATATTTGTTATACGAAAGCTCTGTGTCTGTGGTCGCTGTGAGTATCCATGACGTCACAATACACACACACCCGTTGATCACAGACAGACATTTTCCCGTCAATCTTTTTGGTACACTATGTGATCAAAAGTAACAGGACACGTCCAGAATGATGTTATGGTGTGGTCGTGTTTTTCTAGGAGGGGACTTGCACCCCTTGTTGTTTTGTGTAGCACTATCACGGCAAGTCCTACATTGATGATTTAAAAGCCTTGTTTACCACTGTTGAAGAGCAATTCGGGGATGGAGATTGTATCTTTCAACACGATCGAGCACCTGTTCATACTACACGGCCTGTGGCGGAGTGCTTACACGACAATAACATCCCTGTAATAGACTGGCCTGCACAGAGTCCTGACTTGAATCCCATCGAACACCTTTGGGATGTTTTGGAACGCCGATTTCGTGCCAGGCTTCATCGACTTACATTGATACTTCTCCT